ACAAGGAGCACCATTTCATATGCGAGGAGCACGCCCATGAGCGCGCGGATGCCGCGCTCATCCATCAACAGCTGCAGGAGAGCAAGGACCAGGAGATTCGTTTGCGGGAAGTGGATGTGAAGGCTCTCGAGTTAGAGAGGCAGGTGATGCTCTTGTGCATTGAATATGCCAAGATCAACAAGCCATGATGTTCCTGCATGCACTTTGTCATATGTTTTTTTTTGCCATTTCTTTTTGCTACATGTTGTCATTTGTTCACCACTATTTGATAATCCTACAACCTACTTACTAGCATGTATGTAGTACATTTGTATGTCAAAGCTATACCTGTTTCAACTTATCCTTGCCTATGCTGAGCATCTGAGTGAGGACTATCAAATAATTGATCCATCAACCTGGCCCTGTGTGCTTGACCAGGAGTGCCTGCATATGAGCTATCACCCACCACTTCATTACCATCTGGTCCTTCATATTCTGGATGCAGAGTATGTTTCCCTTCTTGAATGGCCCATCTGGTTGTAGGTTTGTTGCGTTTCTCTTCAAATTTGATGATCATGTTGTGAAGGATAAGGCAACACCTAACCCAATGTAGAGTAATCTGGAGGTCTTTCTGGGTCTGCATAGGGTGACGAAGCTCCTTAAGAGACTGAAAACGCCCCTTCAAAGCAGCAAATGTGTGCTCAATGCGGACACGGACCTAGATGAATTAAAATCAATGAAAATCAGTAAAAATTCCAAAAAAATCAGCAGAAAAATTAGAAGATACCCTGGATAGGTGAATATTGAAGGTCTTCTGGTCCCTTGTCAACCTGCCATTCCGAGGCTTCTTGAAAGGTGGAATACACCACTTCTCAAGTGGATATGCACTATCAGCCCAAATCCAATGGTCATCAGGAAGAAGTGTGTCGTGTTCCTGGTAAACACGAGTAGATTTGAAGGCATAAGCATTGTGTGTACTTCCAGGGTGACCAAGTGAATAGTCGGCAATGAGGAGATTATGGGGCATAATTATTGCCTGAATCTTTCATTAGTTTCTAACCATTAGAATAAGAGAGAAAAAATACCTGACAGTTGAGGGAATAGTTAGACTTCCTGTCATAAAATGCCTCACCATAAAGACCAGGTTTTTCATACAAATTAATAGCAGAGCCATCAATTGCAAAAATACCATTTCTCCACTCTGGGCAAGACTTGGCCTCAACATATTGCCGAGCACACTCAGCATCCTCAGAGTCAGGAGCAGGGAAATTGATGAATGTGTCATGCTGATCAAGGAGGGCAATCATCACACGGTTACTGCAATTGATTACCGATCCAACACTGACACCAGCCCATTGGCCCACATCATCTGGTGAGATAGTGTTGCCGTAATGGCCAGCACGGTTGAGAAATATAGCCAGTTGAATGGCAATGGGAAGTTGAGGGTTGTTTGACCGGTTAGTGAAAATAGGGTGATCAGAAATTTGATCGAGGATATCATCAAAGATGTCAGGATTAATGCATAATTTCTTGCAGAAGAGGTGGTGCCGAGAGTGCCCAAAGTCATGAAGGAGCTGAATCTGGGGGGCTCGCATAGGAGGTGCATCCGGTTTATGAAGAACACAGGCCCTAGTGACCTCATCGCGAAGAGCTGTGATGGTATCATGAAGGCAGTTGTAATGGGTAGTGAAGCTGTCAGATCCATCACTGGAAGAAGAATTTGAAAGGTCGTATAATTGTGGGGTAAGAGGAGATGGAGGAGTGACCATCAGATCAAGGCCAAGATCAGAATCAGAATCAGAATCAGATTCAGAGTCAGAGGAGTCGGAATCATAGAGATCATTAAGGGTAATGAGAGTACACTCTAGCCCGGCCTTGGCTAAGGCTAGTTCAGCCTCATCCAGTTGCTCAAGCAGCTGATTGCGCATAGAGAGACGAGGCATCTGGGGATCAGGAGAGAGATAAGCTTATCACCTGCATCGATAGGGGACACTGTTGCCAGAAATGGCAACATTTTCAAGTGGAGATTCAATTTTAGTTGGCGGCTCTTCTGCTCGATGATGAGCACAGCAACAACACTCTACACGCCTGACATCCACTGCCTGCACCTTCGTCTCGCACCCTCGCAGCGCACCCTCATCGCACACCATCATTTGCGCCCCACACCTTCGTCCTGCACCCCTTGTAAGAAAAACTCCACTTCCCTCCCATCTTTAGTACTTCGTTCGGCCCAACTGCTCTACTCTACTCTACCCCCACCTTATCTAACCCCATGAGCTACTGGGAAGGCATTAGCGGGGGCTGTGCAACTGGTTTTAAGATTTACTGTCCCACTATCAAACTTCCCCTAGATGAACTTTTAGGTGAGGAGTACGACAGCGAAGATGACCAAATGGCTGACGCCCCCATCGAGCAACTAGATGATATGAATGAGGATGGCAACAGCAACAGTAATAATGTCCCCACCCAACCTGAGGGCGAGTCCCTCCTTGGCGGGTCTGCTTCTGCTGAACAAGATGTTCTCATGAGCGATTCTTGTCAGCAGCAGCAACCACAGCCATCTACTCCTGATCTGTTCCTGGTCCCGCAAGTTTCTTCTCACTCTCATATCATGCTCAATCACACCTGCATACTTGTGGCAAGGACTGTTCCAGCAAGACACCCACAAACCATCCTGTACTAACTGTACAAATGTCTGCCACTAAGAAGACTGGTAAAGCTGGACGGCATGCTTCTGGGAGCATGAAGAGTCCCTCATCTGCTGCTCCCTCAGCATCTGCTCTCAAGCACTCTGCTGCTGCGAGCGCGAAACATACTGCAATTGCGACAGTGCCTGCTTCCGCTACCGCAACAAGCCTTAATCCACTTCTCACCTTCATCCTGTCCCTTTGTCTCACACCTTCATCCTGCGCCCTTTGCCTCGCACCTTTTGTCTTGCACCCTTATCACGTCGAATAGCTTTGTGTACATTACATGTATATAACTATTGCTATTTCATCATGATGTTTGACCGCATTTTTTACCACTAAGTCTCATTTTGAAGTCCAACTGTGATGCCGACCTAAGCCGCACTTATGTCGACATTTCTTTGAATTCTTAATCAAAGTTTGCCGATGTTTCATGGAGCTTACCGAGCTTACCGAGTTTTCAGGAAATTACTTTGAACACCACTTATATCACACCTTCGTACTATCCCTTCCACTGCAATTGGCACCCCACAGAAGTCGGCACTTTCACAAAACTTGTATTTCTAGCTACTTAAACACAAAATTCTTAACATCTGTATCATTCTCTCTCTAATACAACTCATTATGAGGTTGAACGACCATGATTAAAGCAGAATTGAGTGAGATAGTCGAAAGTGCCAAAGTCACGCAGAAATGTCACCTGCCGATACATGCCATGACGGAGTTTCAAATTGCACCCCCACTTTGGAAGTGCCGACTGGTGCAGTGCTGCGCGTCCGCATTCGCAAGTTTAAGTTAGCAGCGGTAGATGAGGAAAGCTGCAAGCTTCATCAGACCCGACATATGAGCCACACATTCAGGTTTCAATTCAGAGAATTGCAAATGGGTTATACTGCAGCAAAAGAACAGAATGTGAGTCATGTTTTGTCATGTTACAATGCACATGGTCTCCCTATGTATCCACCTCGATTTTACAACTACAGCACTAATAACAGTCGCCCTCATACTTATGTATATCTACTATTCAATACTATACTTGCTCATTTGAACGAATACTAATTGACCTTGCCCACTTGCTTGACTGCCGAACTGACTTTAAAATTGGCCTACATGACATATCATGACTCACAGTGACATTTGCATGACTGCCAACTTCTGCGGGGTGCCGATTGCAGTGGAAGGGATAGTATCGAGATGCATCGCAGAGTGCAAATTCGGTATCGCAAAGTGCGAACTGCATATTTTGTCCATTTACGAAGAACGCTAGAGGACGGATGATTGCAATAAAATGATAGGGACGTGGTGCGTGAAGCATGCTATCTGTTATACAGTCTCTCCTTGTCAATGTGACAGATTGAAGGACACCACATCAGAAAAACTATTCCGCACGAACTCAGATACAAATTCAGACAGGTCAGGTTTCTGGGGACTTTCTTACTCCTGCTCAGTGTCCGTTGGTGCTGCCCACACTTAGATTACACCCTCCGCTGAAGACATGCTTGCCGTTCACGGAGAACATGACCAATGTCATTGGAGACGAGTATTGGAAGATGGCGAGTCATTCAGAGAGCTGCCACAGACGGACATGACTTGAAGCGGTGAGCATGCTAACAGGATTTGACGATAATGGCAGCGATTCGTGAGTGCAGCCCATCCTGGCATCAATTCAAAAAGCAGGATGGTACCGTGTGTGATTGGTCAATGCTCGTGCATCCATCACATAAATTCTGTCGTCTCTGGTAGCGTTCAGTGAGATGCAAGATGAGGAGTACTGGATCGAGCGCACGGACCCTGCATAACGCGGTGGAAACAAAACACAGATAGATAAATGAAGAGTGGAAGTTCTGCTTGTGGCCGCCAGGGTTATTTGTCCTCAGCGGGTTTCACTTCAAAAAGACTTCACATCCACAGCAGCTGGGCCCAGTCTGGGATCCGGGCTAACACACCATGACCATACTGTAAGGTCTACAGCGGTCACGAACCCAAGATTATCGTGATAAGACCAGTGGTAACTAGCCGACTTCGAATCAACTCAGACCTTGAACGACGATTTGGATGGAGGAGTTATGCACTGCGGGATCCGCGCCTTAATCTGTCAGCGCTAGCAGTCGTTTATCAGGTACATTTTTCCATTGATACACAGACACTCACAAGAATTGATCATCCTCTCGTTCTGAACATGTTCAGGCCATTCCATGCACCTACGGTGGTGCTGCTGACATAAACTGATTTTGCATACACGTGACTAGGTGCGTCGCGATCGAGTTCGTTTAGTTCGTGGCAGTGCTGATTTAACTGGTGTAGCAGAGTATAAATACAGCGCGCCTGCAAGATATGCTCCCATTTCCCGTCCTCGATTTACGTGCATTACTTTCTTCACTACTCATTCTCAACTTCAACTCGCCTTACAACATGATTTCCGCTATCTTCGACGGTGCCGCCCATGTCACCGTCGCTGGGTGCCTCGGAGCATTCTTTCTCAAACACACTGTGGTGGATCGGACGTCCAAGGCCATCAAAGAAGCGGAGAACGTCACCGCCGGCCTGATTATATCCGAATTCTGTATCTCTGTCGCGGTACTAGTTCTAGCTTCCAACGAGACCGCCCGGATACTCCTCAGTAAAGATGGTCGACCTCCTCCGAAGCACAATTTAGCCGAGCTCAACGCGCCTCTCATTTACAACAAAGTGTCCGATTTCCCTACTGCAGCAGACTCAATTTTATCGAATCCAATCGCAACCGAACCATGTAGCACTCCGCCAGACCTAATAATTTCACCGAATTCAATTGCAGATGACTCTTACTGCACTCCGCCATCTACTGCATGTTCCACATTAGGCACGCCAATACTGTTGACTTCGCCGGTTCAGAACACGAAGCGCCTCTCAATCGATTCCGACACGACTGTCATCGACCATGATGACGACTTCATGAAGGACTTTTCTGGCGTGGACCTTGAGGAAAGCAATATCCCCCAGGTATGAAGTCGCACAGTCTCCTCATTTTCATCGCTCAATGTTCGAATCTTTATAGGATGACAGCGACTGCTCCAGTGGCTACCTACTCCCATGGACGAAAGCACCAAAAATCAATGACTCGAGCGGACCTTCTCAACGGACGCAGCTCCAGCCAATCCTGGAGGACGGACATCATCAGGAAAACCCTCCCAAGGCAAATTAGGGAGAATTCACAAAAATTCGTAACATTAGCACAATCACAGCTATTTATGAAGAAAGTAGCTAAAGATGATCAGTGGTCGTCACATTCACCTTAACACCCTAACTATTGCCGAGGTTAATGTTTTCAACTGGGGTTTAACCACAGTTTACTTTTATTTAAAAATTAAGATGTGACTTGCACGTGCTTGCTATGTACTTGCACTATGTAATTAACATGAAAATAAATAGCCAAAGGGCTGAAATTGAAAAGACTGCAGCAGGCCATCATAAATCAGGAATCCGAATTACTTATAGCACATCAACAACGATCTTCTGACTTGCCAACTTGAACATGCCTGCACCATCACCTGTGTGGGAGCATTGGTACAAGGGGCCGCCCTACAAAAATTATAAAGTACATCATGAAGCTCGATGCAAACACTGCATCCTGGCACAGACACGAGAGATCCTTGCCCTCGAGACAAATGCATATGCGATTGGAGAAAGTCTATTACCACCACGTAGTGAGGATACAATTCTTGAAGATGGTATGTGCCCTAGAATGCAAAGAACTCTTTTGTATGACACTGCAGCTCAATGAGGTTTTAGTGAAGGCTACTTACCCTGCTATCTGTGGCAAAGTAGACGACCTCTGGAAGCACACGTCTGAATGTGATCATGCACCTCCACAAACACGCAACTGGGCAAAAGCTGAAATTCAGAAGCGACAGACCAGTGCCACAGCAAACACTCACCTTCGTGTCAGTATACCCAGTGGGATGCCATCAAACAGGTCTCTAACACCAACAGTACTTCTTCAACACGATTCTCGCACCCCATCCTTGCCTATAATCTCCCTACCACCATCTGCAACACCAACCATTGGATCCTCGACACCAAGGCTGCTTTCACCACTGGTGACAATTCATTCACTGCCAGGGGAACCATTTTATGGCGAGACTGTACCTAGTCAACCATGGCCAAGCTCGCAGCAAGCTGAATTTGCAGCTGACTTGTGCCGTTTGCTGCTGACCTCCAATGTGGCTTGGTGGACTGTTGATCAGCCATACTGGCGACAGTTCTTCTCGAAGTGGATTCCACAATGTCTTATGCCTGGCAGCAAACAACTTTCTGGCCGAATTCTTGATGAAGAGGCTGAACGAGTAGTTGATGGCATGAAAGCAAAAGTTCAAGATCGTTATGCAACAGGCCAGTGCGACGGCTGGAAAAATATCACCAAGTCATCCATTGTGGCATCAACAATTAATGTTGAGTATACAGTGCGTGAATTTTCAATACAATTATCATCTCATGCTGTCAGACTCAAACCAATTTTTAGCCCTATTTGTTGAACACCTGCGACGTATCTGCAAAGCCAAAGACTGCTGAGAACTTACTGGAGATAGTGCTAAGTGAAATCCAATATGCTAACAAAGTTTTGAAGGTCAAAGTAGTTGCATGGTGTACAGATGCTGGAGGAGACGCTGCAAAAATGCGACGATTGTTGGTTCAAAAGCTTCCACAAATCATTGTTGTTGATTGCTGGGCACATCAGGTTCGAGTCTCATATAATCGATCAAAATTTTAACTGACGAGTCATTCTGAAAGATCAACTTAGTTGTTGGGGATATCTTCAAGATTAAAGGGTCATTCACGACTGTTATCGACGATGCATTAGAAGTTGTGAAGTGGTTCAATAACCACAGCAGGGCACTCGGAATTCTCAACGAAGTACAACGAAATGTGTTTTCTGGGAAAACCCGGTCCTTAATATTGCCTGTCCTCACACGATGGACATCTCATTATCTTTCTGTGCGCCGACTTCTTGAGCTAGAAATGCCGTTTAAAGAAATGCTCACAACACGCATCAATGAGCTCAAGACCTGTGGTGGGAATCGAGCAGATGTCATTCGAAAATCAGCTTCAATACTGGCAATTTTGGGCCGCTTTGATTTCTGGTACAAACTTCTAATGTAAGTAAGATTTGAGCTATTGGGACGGTTTTCTGATAAATCTCATGTTTCAGGGTGAAACGGCATCTCGAACCACTAGCCATTGCTGCCAATGCCACACAAAGTGATTTTGCACGTCTTGATGTGGTGCTCATTACTCTTGTCAATCTGTATCACAAGTTCTGTGACCCATCTCTCGATTCTGATGTATGCAATGCCGTTCGAGCAAGCCTGGAGAAGCAGTGGGCAAAAGCTGACCAGAAGATCTTTATTCTCGCCGTCATTTTCAACCCCCACCTCCGTGTATCATGTTTTGCTCCTTCCAGCCCTTATCGTCAATTTTCAAGGCTGTGGACACTGGTTCGTGCTGTGTACAAGCGGATTTATGATGCAGAACCCAACAGTGACTTTCGACGAGCCTTTCAAGATTACGTTCGGAGTACAGGTGAATGGTCTAATGAGAGTATGGGTTTGCACGAGCACCATGAACAGGCAAAACGGGATGTATGTAACTTGAAGATGTTCTTTTATTCAGTACTAATGATAACTTAGCAAAAAAATGTCAACCTTGTGCAGCTCTGGCGCGAACTCGACACAATCACCTCTGGCCTTGCCATTGACAGCACTGCAGGATCCCTCCCAATGGCATATCTGGTCTCATTCACCTTGCGATGCACATTCTATCTGTTGTTCCTAACTCGGCTGCAACTGAACGTGTCTTCAGTCAATTTGGAATCATTCATACCAAGCTGCGAAATCGACTAAGTACTGACAAGGTTCGGAAGCAGGCTCTCGTCAGGTCTGACACACTTGCACAGTATGGGTCTCTCCGCAATCGCAAACGGAAGTTCATTGAGGACTTGGACGACGAGTGCGACTCAGAGAACAGTGGCCAGCCTTCATGTGACACTAGTACCGCTACATCCATGGCCAGTGAGTCAGCGGAACCACAACATTCCCATTCATTTCTTCCTGTCGTGAGAGAGCTTCTTGAAGATGTTGATGACGAGGCTACCAACAGCGCCGGTCACTGGCATGACAACGATAGCGACTCGCTATTGCTTGAAAACTTGTTTTACTATCCCTCGGATGTTGAATTAGCCACGGTCAAGGAGTTGATGGATTTTTGGACACGGTGCGAGCACAGTTTTGGAATCGAGGTTGCATTCCACGATCGACTTGCAGAAATGCAGAATGAAACGGAGCCTTAGTCGTGTATTTCGTTTTAAAAGCAAATGTTATTAGAGTTATCTTTTGCTAACCTATGATTTAACTGACTCCGAAGTCACGCTTTGACTTTGACGACGGGGGTTTAAGTTTTCATTTACAAGTTAACGAAGCTAAACTGCCTTCGTTAAACTCGTTGAGACGATCACTGAAGATGATAATGTTAGACGAGTTTTTTTCTACAATACATCTAACTCTTCTAAGTCAGATAAACTATTACAAATTAGAGCTAGATATCAATATCATTCATAACATACATGTAATTATTGCTAAGTTATAGAGTACTACCTAAGGGTCATAAAACCATGCCTATTGAGAAACTCGACACCTGAATAGTGTGATCATTGATGCAGATGCCGTGAGTGTGCAACAAAATTTTAAAATATCCAAGTCCAGCATTTGTGCATATTTGTTTGTATCACGTGACTTGTGGTTTGAACGAAGAAATATCTTAAGTCCAACATTTGTACATATTTGTTTGTATCATGTGACTTGTAGTTTGAAATGTTTGAGCGAAGTGGTGCCATGTCACTGATCTTCAACTCTCACTCTCGTCTTCGAAGCTTAAGAGGCCTCAAGCTTCATTGCTGGTGTTCATGCACTACATACAATTAAGGTGCGCAATGATTTTTTTAAAATTCTAAACTTGTTTTAAGCAAACCTATTTATTCTAAAAACTATTTATTCTAGGATGTTCACAGTGAGTGAGTCTGTCGGTCCGAGTTCGAGTTCGCCAAGTTGTTGCCTGCCGTTCGCAGTGAGTGAGTCTGTCGGTCCGAGTTTGAGTTCGAGCCACGCTGATCCAAGCTGTTGTCCGCTGTTTGTAGTGAGTGAGTTTGTCGATCCTCATTCGAGCTTGAGCCACGCTGATCCATGTCGTTGCCCACCATTCGCAGGAAGTGAGTTTGTCGATCCTCGTTCGAGCTCGAGCCATGCTGATCCATGTCGTTGCCCACCATTCGCAGGAAGTGAGTTTGTCGATCCTCGTTCGAGCTCGAGCCATGCTGATCCATGTCGTCGCCTACCGTTTGCAGGAAGTGAGTCTGTTGATCCTCGTTCGAGCTTGAGCCACGCTGATCCATGTCGTCGCCCACCGTTCGCAGGAAGTGAGTCTGTCGATTCTTGAGCCACACTGATCCATGTCGTCGCCCACCGTTCGCAGGAAGTGAGTCTGTCTATCCTCGTTCGAGCTCGAGCCACGCTGATCCATGTCGTCGCCCACCGTTCACAGGAAGTGAGTCTGTCGATCCTCGTTTGAGCTCAGAAGGACGCACCTGCGAAATTCCACTGTATGATGGCCGACATCTATGAGGCTGCACAGTGAGTTCCACTTAGGTAGTATTGCCTCGATGCTCACTCTGCTTGCAGGAAGTTGCGATACAGCGGCGCCGCTGCCGGTGGCCATGCTGCTGAGCTCGAAGCGTTCGAGTTACTTGACCTCGACAATATGGAAGAAGACTGAATCATCCCCCGCTCATTTTCATAGTGTACAATACGGAATCGTGAAGCTGATACATAGTCTCCCAGTTGGTCATAGCGCGCGCTGTTATTTAAATTAGCCTACTGCCCATATACCCATTTCTAATCAAATTTAATTTTGTTCTTGTATCTTATTCTGTCTGATTCGGTTGGAACCCTCGTCTAAGATCAAAAAATCAATTCTAAAAGTCGTGCTAATGTGTTTGAATTACTGAAAATAGTTGCTAATTCTTGTGTTTTTATTAGGAGGTAAAAAAACCGACCTAAGCTAGCTAAAACTCGAATTTGTAAAATTTAGATATAATAACGCAGGATTAGTTCGGATTAGTTCTAATGTTACATCTTTAAGTAAATTTGTCTGGGGAGGGTTTTCCTGATGATCTGACGACCACCGATATTCTGCTGCTCGTGGACGCTTCCACTCAAATGATCGCGACGCCCTCTCTTGGCATCCTGCCTCAGATTGTCTCGCCTCAGCTGAAACCCCCGGATACGAAACGGCATCAAAATTTCCGGCCGGGAAGACACAAGGTATGGACATGTTCATTGCGAAGCCAAGTGCTGCACTCACCGTCGTTTCTTAGCGCGAATCTAGATCCACTCGCTTGGCCGCTATCCATGGCAGCATCGAACGCACTCACTCCAAGCAACAAGAACATGCTACTGCGATCAGTGAGTGATTTCCGGTGACGTTCGCTTCGTTTGTTGATTTAGAATAGATGACCTTGAACAACTACATGACGATCTCCTCGCCGACCAAACCGCTCTTGTCGACGGCTGGGCAGCTGCCATGTCCCAGGTCGGACTCCCCTCTATGCTGTCGCCTTCACTGCTTCTGGATCAGAAGACGCCCGACCCAGGGAATTCGATCGAAATCATTCAAGACCGACACCTTCACACACAATGCTACTCCCGAGGTCCCCTACGACCAAATCCCGAAGATCTGCAACGATCTCCCTCGCTGTCCCCTACGACCTGGAGCTTCATGCTCGCGAGGTTGAAGGCCACCACTGACCGCGCACAAAATATGTCTTCGCGCCGCCCGCTTATGCCTGCAGTCTTCGACGTCGGACGTCCCCTACGACCAATCCCGATACAACCGCAACCGCAACAGCGTAACCGCCTCCTTCTTGTCTCAGAGCACTTGGAGTTGAAGGCCACCGCCCGCGGCTCGCACTTACATCTATCTCAAGTGTCTTCTCTTGTCTTCGCCATCATGTAAATGGCCCTCGATTTGTTTCTTTATCTCTGTATTTCTCTTACCAATATCTACTTCGCAGATCATGGACTGCCTGTGACTTATGGACACGTCTCCCCTTTATCGATATGTACTCAGCAGACGTTGAACTGCTCATTTCTTTTGTAACTTGTAGGCACGATATGCCTTGTTTCTTTTTACAGTACGGGATCATTTTTCCATCTACGATTTATCTCTCAATAATGTTTCTACATTTTCGTATGTGTACGATGACGAGTATTACATGAATATCGGTAGTTTGCAGTTTCTGATATGAATCCGATTTTCTTCACTTGATGCGCTCTCCGGAAGACACGCCTGAGGTTGATCATGAGCGCAAGTGAAAAGTGGTCGGTTCTGCACATACATCAATGACAGGGACAAAATCTGTCAAGGATATTGATTCAATATCGCAAGGTAGACGCATGTGTGAACTAAGCCGGGATCACAGAGGTTGATAGCTTCCTAGCTGAAATTATTATGATTGTACATGGTCAGCGTTCAACGTTCAACCCCAGTGAAAATCGACAAGAATGAGGCAGATAGGTAGCGATACACGTCTAAGTACCAAATGATATAGATAGAAATCTAAATAATTCGAGATGGAAAAATGCAAATTGTAAAATTAAATGCAAAGTCCAAACTTGCGAGAAATTTGCAGTGTATTTGCTGCAAATGTTGCAAACGACACTTTGCAAATTGCAAAGCTACGCCTAGATTAACATTGCGATTGCGCATATACGCTTCCTTGATCGCGATCACACAGCTACATGAATTCTATAACCTCCGAGAGCCTCGAGGCTGGCATACATCGACTTGCAAACGGTACTGATACTTACATATGCGATTGTGATGCCTGTCTTCGGAAGAACAAAGGCAAGCCCAAGCGTGTACCCCGAACTACTTACTTCCGGCACAAACCCAACAGACTCGCTAGACTTTTTCCCCCACCACTTCCTGCACAAACTCCAGCTCCTATACCGGCGCCATCGTCTAGCAAGCGTCCTCTGGATGCTTCTGATCACCCCGAACAGCCACCCATATTGAAGCACAAGGATGATCGGATTGATGGCGCAGAAGACGGTGTGTTCATAACCCTGTGATCAATATCAATTTGCTGATATGAATAATAAGATTTTGATATACCTGAGGCTGCTGACAATATTCCAGGCCCTGACGCACTCGATGGAGCTTTCGATCACCTTGAGGACACCAATTTTGGTGATACGGGACCCGAGGACAGGGAGGAGGAAGAGGAAGCTCGTGTTGAGGAAGTGCAAGCTCGTGTTGAGGACACCAATTTTGGTGATACGGGACCCGAGGACAGGGAGGAGGAAGAGGAAGCTCGTGTTGAGGAAGCACAAGCTCGTGTTGAGAACACCAATTTTGGTGATACGGGACCCGAGGACAGGGAGGAGGAAGAGGAAGCTCGTGTTGAGGACAATATACCCGAGAACTTCGATCAAGACATGCCCCCGGATGACGTCAATCTCGAGGGTGCGGACACTGACTTGGGAACCATGGGCTGGACGGACGAGGACTTGGACGAGCTACAGCAGATGGCATGCCTTGAAGATGCCCAGGATTCAATGTCATTCATTACTGCTCTCCGAAAAGCATCCCTAGACGACACACACTCTAAACTACCTCCAGACGCACTAGACAGACTTCGAAACCCTCCCCGCGAACTCCCCGATATGTCAGATCCTGATCTTATCCTTTCATTAAAATATTACTTTGCAAATACAACAATCGCTGCTTACAATCTTATCCGCGAGGCCACGATCGAACGACACCCCGAAGATGATGTATATAGTCATTACCGGGTTAAGCAAGCTGTCTGTGAACTTAGTGGTGTCGTCCCGATCGTTAATGACATGTGTACCAACACATGTCTCGCATTCACAGGTCCGTACGCCGAGCTCGATCATTGTCCTCGATGTGGAGAAGATCGATGGGACGCCAAAAAAAGCTCACCTCACAAGAAGGTAGCTCGGAAAACGTTTGACACATTTCCTGTTGGACCGCAGCTCCAGGCCCTATGGCGCCATCCAGACCAGGCAAAGAAGATGCGATGGCGCCAGGAGTACACCAACAAGATCATCGATGAATTGAAGACAACCGACGGCGTTCCGGAGGTATATGAAGATGTTCTTCATGGGAAGCAATATCTGGACGCGTGCCAATCTGGCAAAATTAAAGATGGTGATGCGGTTCTTATGTTCTCGATCGATGGTGCCCAGCTCTATGAATCCAAACAATCCGACTGTTGGATATATATTTGGGTAATTTTCGATCATGCGCCAGACGTCCGGTACAAGAAGAAGTACATACTCCCGGGCGGTATCATTCCTGGCCCCAAAAAACCCAAAAATCTAGATTCTTTCATTTTCCCCGGCCTACACCATCTTCGCGCAATTCAGACAGAAGGGCTTCCAATTTGGGATGGCGCGAAGAAGGCTCTATTTCAATCTAATCCCTTTCTCTTTGTTGCAACAGCTGACGGCCCCGGCATGGCATTTCTTACTGGCCTCGTGGGTCACCATGGCAGATTCGCATGTCGTCTCTATTGCGGACTCCCAGGGAGACACAAACCAGGTGCACCTACGTACTATCCTGCCCTACGTCAACCTGAAGGTACTGATCAACCTGATCACCCCGACTTCTTCATTGATCGGCTTCCCCTTCCCGGATCATTCGATTATGAACAGAACCTCAAGCATGTGATCCGCTGTTCCAACATGGCCGAATACGAGCTTGCACGCCTCGAGACAGGCATTACGAAACCAAGCATCTTCTGCGGCTTCGACACTGACCGTATTTTGCTGGTGCCGCTGTGCTTTGGCTCTGACATCATGCACATCGCTGCCATCAATACTGGTGATCTCCTTCTACCCCTCTGGAGAGGAACCTTTAGAGCCGAGACTACGGATGATAAATCCACGTGGGCCTGGGCTGTTCTGACGAAGGCGACTTGGAAGGCACATGGATCTCTGATCACAGATGCAACACCCTTTCTGCCGGGTTCGTTTGATCGACCTCCTCGTAACCCAGCAGAGAAGATCAATAGTGGGTATAAGGCCTGGGAATGGCTTCTCTACCTGTATGGGATGGCACTGGCCACACTCTACGGCATCCTTCCTGAGCCCTATTGGTCGCATTTCTGTCGTCTTGCCCGGGGACTACGTATAATGCAACAATACCATATATCTAGATCAGATCTCATTGAAGGCCACCATCACCTTCTTAACTTCGCGGATGAATTTGAAGAGCTCTACTACCAGCGCCGGATCGATCGACTTCATTTCGTTCGACCATGGCTCCACTCGATCACACATATCGCTGGTGAGACAGTCAACAAGGGACCACCTATCTGCTCATCACAATGGACTATGGAGCGAACTATTGGCAACCTAGCTCAAGAGATACGACTACACAACTCCTCTGTCTACGCTAATCTCTCTCAACGTGCTGCCCGTCGTTGTCAAGTCAATGCCATCAAGGCTATCATACCAACAATCGAACCATCGGATAATGCTTCCCCGAAGGGCTCGTTGGATATCGGCCAGGGATATTTACTGCTGCGGCGAAGAGAGAGGACAGCTCACGCAGTACGTCCCTGTGAGGCCCAAGTACTACTTCGCTACCTGTCCGACAACAATGTTCATGTTACCTCCGCCCCTCTCATCACTCGATGGGCTCGTCTTCGCCTTCCAAATGGGCAAGTTGCACGGTCTGCATGGAAGGAAAATGCTATGTCCAAGCAACCAAGAATGGCACGCAATGTGAAGGTATGTTTTTCATGGTCACTCTATTAGTATTATACATTGACACGTACACTAAAGTTATTGATTGACGGCAAGACCACTGTTGCCGAAGTCTTATTTTATTTCAATATGATGCTTCACGACGAAGAGAAGACCTTTGCTTTCGTATCTGAATTCAGCCAGCCGCACACAGATCTATTTGAAAACTCGTCGCAAACGGTCTTTGCCTGTTGTTATCGTGGAGACGCTTCATTGAAACTTGTCGAGGTTCATACTATACAGTCTGTGGTGGCTATGATTCCTCATAATTTTCCGGGTATTGATGGCGTTCTTTTCTACCTCGTGGAACGACCAGGGTTGGACATTATAAGAATGAGTGGTGTGGAAGAGGAGGGTATTCTTGACGAAGAATGAGTTCAATTACTTTTTTATACGAGATGCAAGCATGTTTATTTATCTGACTACTGCATCACTAAAGAGCTTCTTCAAGTTCTCGTTTCATTGCACGAACCACAAGAAAATTCTTGTCTGTACGCGATCAATCGTACCATGCTTCATCCTCCTCCTTCGACACATACTTCCAGTAAATTGATCCAGGCGGTGGTGGGCTTGGCGTTGCAAATATAGACTTCATATTACTTTTGGGCATGGAGAGAACTGGTCGGGTGATAGTGGACGAGTGTGCCATTGGCTCAGGTGGGTCGCTTTCAGGCTCGGTGACGCTGTCAGGATCGTTCACACAAGGAGGGGTGATGACTTGCTGTGGTGTTGGCTCAGGTGGGTCGCTTTCGGGCTCGGTGATGCTTTCAGGATCGTCCACATGAGGAGGGGTGATGACTTGCTGTGGTGTTGGCTCAGGTGGGTCGCTTTCGGGCTCGGTGATGCTTTCAGGATCATCCACACGAGGAGGGGTGATGACTTTCTGCAGTGTTGGCTCGGGTGGGTCGCTTTCGGGCTCAGTAACACTTTCAGGATCATCCACACGAGGAGGGGTGAAGACTTGCTGCAGTGTTGGCTCGGGTGGGTCGCTTTCGGGCTCGTCAGGCCAGGGAGGCATAGTATTTGGGTGATGCCTTCAATATAAGTTGTTGAACCGAGATATAATCATATAATAGTGACTCACAACAGTTGCTGTCTGATCAAGTGTTCTTTCTCTGGATGCGCATGCCAGTATGCTGGGTTGACAAACATATCATCCGAGGGTGTCATCTTTGGTGTGCTGGAACGACTGTCTGAAAAAGATATGCTAAGATACATTAGTGATAACAGTGTTAGAAGTGATGGAGAACATACCTAGTATCAGCATCGTAGCCATCATTATCCTGATCAAAAGACATATCTAAAACTCGTTGAGTGGATGTAGGATGAATTGATGATACTATAGAATGAATTGGACTTAGTCCGAAGTTTCCTTTCTTGACTTGTACTGCAGCGCCCCTTCTCATCATACCATCATTATGCCTGACACAACGACTTCACCGACAGGATACGCCAATCTCCTCATGTCTCAAATTTCTCCACAACATTCTTTTAATTCACAACTTAATTCCGGCAGCTCACATAATTTTCAAAATACCCGGCGTGATTGCGATACCAATAATACCGTGAGTTCTATGATAGAGAACTTGTTACATTAATGAGATACACGTGTCATTAGTCTACCATGTTGCCCGAAGGGCTCTGGGCTCTTCTTGATCAGGGTCGTTTATCTCCCAATGATCCTGACGTCAACATGATCTCACAATTGAGGCGAGAGATATCGGAACTCCAGCACACAGTCGCCTTTCTCCAGTCGGAGAAAACACAACTCGTCAATGAAAACTTGTGTCTGAACACAAAATGCGAAACATTGCAGTAAGTTCCAGTCATATCATGCGCATATATGCGCACCGTGTTTGCTGATGCGATCAATGATGTCATGGTATATCTTCTCTCAGGACCATACTTGTTAACAGTCGAGGTTCTGCCAGCTCGACTGCATCAAGTTCTTCTTTGTCGGTTGCAAGTGACAGTACTGCGGATCGAAAACCTACTCTTCTGGACGTCGCTCGTGAAGATTCTGATCATGACCTCAACGCAATTGATTACCCACTGGTCAGATCATGGACGAAGAAAGACTGGCAGGAGAACATGCCGTCAAGTACATCAGCCAATCCTGGATCCTCTGGGAAAAAGCGAGGAGCCACACGCATGGCACGAGGCATCAATGTAGCATGTACCTACCTGCAAGACCAAGTTGGCCAGCCGGTGTCTGCACAACGGGCAAAAACCATCCGTCTTTTCATGCTGTCATGTTTTCGACAACTCGAATCTCAAGGTCTCGCGCCCGAATCCATCGGCCAAGCATCGCTCAAAGTCCTACATTGGCTTATTCACATGCTACGCAAACATTACATTGAACTCCGTCTATGCGCTGACAATTGGAAAGCTATGAAATTAATGATCGACAACTATTCCCAATGGTACAACTACCACGTCGTCAAGAAACAAACTAGCGGTCATGTCAAGTCCGAAGACATAGAGACTGCCGACGATGACAACAACATTACCCCTCCTTCTTCCTCACCATCTGCGACACCTGCTGTTACCCCCCCTTCCTCATCTTCTTCAACACCTGCGGCTACCCCTCCTTCCTCATCTTCAACTTCTCATAAACGAGTTAACGTTGATATCGACCCTGTTGCAGAACCAGCGTTGAAAAGACAACGAGTCGAAGTGGAGGACCTCTCACCTTCACCTCTTTTAACTGGCCCTGATAATGATTTGTATATTGCACCGGTAAGTCAAATTTTCCTTCCATTTTACTTATTAATTGTTGTAGATTATGCCACCTGCCTCACCCCGCACTGAGAACGAAATCCCGCGACACGCATCACCAGAACGTGAACCAACCCCACCTCCCCGTACCGACAAAGGAAAAGAGAAGGAAGTGATTACTGTGGAGGTCAACAATCCTCTGTAAGTGATCGCTCTATTGCTCATTACATTCTACTGATACTATTAATTTAGTTCTAATCTTGTCTTCAAACCTCGCCCCAAGCCAATCCCAAAGAAAGCTCCTGCCTCCATCGACTCTGCCACTTCTGGAACGACTAGCGCCGAGCCGACTATCATCACCCCTCCATCCAATGACCCATCGGATACCAACGCAGCTTCCCTCGCTGTCAAGATGGAACTCCTGGTAGCGACCCCCACGGAGCCCATTCCCGGTGCAATCAACTCGAAGGCCCAACCTGCAAAGAAGCATCAGCCGAGCACAAAGCCCATGCGTGTGAGCTCGAAGATCACGGCGCGGTAAGATTTATCTATTGCGGTCACAGCAAGTAAGGCTAACACTATTATTATTATAGGAATCTTTGTGCCCTCGAATGGCAATCGAACGGCCATCAGAAAGAACCGGCAAGCGTCTTTGCAACCTACTGGAACAGTCTATCGAAGACTGACAAAGAGGTATGTCGTTTTTGTATTGATGTCATTTATCTACTGACTAGCACTATTATTGAAGGTATACAAGCACAAAGCGGCTCTACAGGTGCGTGGTTTTCATGATATCCACGAGTATCTTCATACTAACAATGATTTGCCTTATAGCTCGGCTCGGCTGGACCCACTGAAAGGAACGGCGCCGGCGATGATGCAGATGAGGAGTAGCGGATGGATACGAGGCGGGATGGCGGGCGCGGGATGGCGGGATGTCGGGATGGCGGAGGCGGGCGCGGGCGCAGCGATACCACTACCTAACCATAGCGATACCTATAGATACATCATTCAATGGCATTAGATACCTATTCATCTCATCTAATTGGAACATTTTCAGCACATGTTTGCATCTAAAACCCATCTAAAACCAACTAAAATCGTATCGAAGCTCGTTTCGGTCTCTATCGTTTTTCGTCTCGAAAAGTCCCACTTTTCTAAAGAGGTCGAAACATAACGAAAAATTTCATTCCCTCATATTTTTTTCGATCTATATCTACACGTATCTACGTCATTCTTGTCGATTTTCACTGGGGTTCAACGTTCAACTACCAATGAAACGCGAACATTCCCAATCAAAGTCAACGTAAAGCAAATCGATCGAGGAGTGGTCACGTGTCACAAGGACAATACAGTGTATGTCACTCAAAAGCGGCAACTACCGACATCAAAACTTGTAATTCTATCTACACCTTCAGAAATACCTCGTTCGTCTCAAAAACCTAACAAATGTGCTATGTTAGAGTAGTATAGTAAGTCTATCAGAATACTTTTTCAAAAAACTTAAGTTTCAAAATTTTCGCTAGCCAAAAGTGAATTTCGAGCGGAGCGTGTCGGAGTTTCCTATTTGGGTATGCGGCATCTGACGGCCGACTCCGCGATTAGTCGACGGGCCCAGAAAGAGGTGATTGTCATATTGTTTTTTGCACCCTCTCTCATTTTTCTCTTTCGAAGATAGGTAGATGTTCGTGCTGTGCCACTGTATGTTGGCATCGAGCGTTTGGGCAGTTTCACTGGCTTCGTATCCCCTGAAAACACATCCTGATCAAATTTTCGATGTATATCAGTGCACTGATTGATATTACTCACTGAACTCATAATGTTCGCCCAGAATTTTTGAGCAGATACTGCTGCCCTCCGTGCACACCCCTCTGCATAATCCACTGTCTCTTCAGCCTCGACCACAATCTCCATAGCTGCTTCATCATCCGACTCGCTTTCATTATCTGATACCTCTCCTATATTGCCATCTATGAGACTGAATGACAATGCTCCATTAAAGTCGGACTCGGAGTCTGCTTCACTTTCGGCATCTGAGACAGGCACATAATCTGGGTCCAGAAAGACTTCAAAAACATCTTCTATCAGCCCATTGTCAAAGCACCTCGATGATGAAGCATACTGCTGCTTCGCTTGCTTCTGTCTTTTGGTAGGAGGAGGCATTCGACAGCAAAAGTGAACAATTACGTAATCAGGCGAAATTTCGGAAATTTAGATTTACGCTCCTTTTGTCTAAGTTTCCTATCAAAATTTCAATCTAAGCACATATGGATCAAAATTGCGGCCTGGGGAGAGTTGCTGTCCCTTAGTGACATACACTGTAGCTACACGGAACTGACATCTAATCTCGTCAGATCCATTTTCCTTCACATATATCTTACCAGGACATGATGAGTGTTATGCAGAAAATAAGAAAAATAACAAGGAATGAAGTCAGGCAAATGAGAACAGTAACAAAGATTGTGGAGTCGTAGAATAATATATATGCTATAAATGAAAGTAGTCGTGGAAAAGAAAACTGCCCTTCTAAATGAATGTATGAGGATAATCCTCGTCTGTTGCGGAGATTACAAGTAGATGCTGGAATTATAATACTCTGTAAATCGAGTCCAAAAAAAACGAATGAGAGGCTGTTTGCACCATTGTGCCTTGAGATCGACATCGCGAGTAAGGAACGTGATAGACTATGAATCGGAAGCTCATACACGAATCAACCCGAGCCTAGTTCAGTTGGGATTTAGGAAATTCAAGCTGTTCTGGGTTTTCTTCATCTTGCATTAGCTGGCTGCACATTGTACTCCGTTTTCGAAGCGAGGGTCCATACAAGAAAAGAATCTTCGGGGGTGGGTTAGTAATGAAGTACCGAGACATGTCGAAAAACTCACGAAAGGGACTGGAATGAGGAGGACTGCGACACCACCAAAGATAGTGTTGGCCCATTTGTATGTGAGCTTCTTGAACATTATGTGAGAGAAGAGAGGGAATCCAAAGCTACCCATGTTACCTATGGTTGCTCAGCACGCGCATACAAAATATGAGGTGACAACGTACGAGCTAAACCCTGGCCCGCCAAAGCAGAAGACGCCATTGGACCATAGCTGCATGAGCAGAAAATGTGAAACACAGATTACAGTGGAGATGGTACGAAGTACTTACCAGTCTGCCAGATAAATGAAAACCACCTGATATGAAACAAATGAACAAAACATGAAGATCTGGTTAAAGTGGTGCCTGATGAGCATTCCCGACCCTCGTATACATCGAAATGATAAACACACCGATAAGCCGACAACAGGCCACATCCAGAAGATGCGAGAATCCGCTGTCCATGCATAGATGAATATCGAGGTAGGCAGCAAGAGTGCTACTAAACAAGCGATGTATAGCCTTGCTTCAGGGCCCCTCCGAGATACGCATTTCCTAAACAGATCGGTTGGGTGCGGTGCATAATTTTATTGTTACAATTGACTCACCGGTACAGCACATCCTGGTAGAAGTTGGCAAGGAGTCCCAGTATACTTCCCACACTGCGAGGACGAATTAGGTGAGAGGGTCAAACGCTCAACATCAAGACACTTACACGACGGTAATGAACACTAATCCACTCTGCCCGACGTTGAAGTGATATATATGCTTGAAAACCCCGGACACGGATCTGCTCGCATTACTTAGTGGCAGGTCCTCGCTGGAAATAACATATTTGCATACCCGATCTGGACGTAGAGCACACCAGACATGAAAAAGACCCAAATCTGTGGAGAGAACTTCAGAAACAACGAAATACGACGGGAAAGGCTACAGACGCATATACTAGTCACGATGGGTTCAGTGAGAACAAACACTAACCACCATCAGCACCACCTTGCATAGCAATCATCAAATGACGTACTGATTGGCCGAGTACACGACATCTTAATCATGGCACTCAATTTCGGCCGTGTCTCCTCTCCCCGGACGCGGTACCGATCGTCCCCAGTTTCCTTACAGAGTTTCTTGGCTATGCGTCGAAGGATAATTTGCGATCGGGTCTCCTCCATTATAATTAGGCTAAGAAGGAAGTAGGTCCCCTGAACACTGCGTTGATTGTTATTGAAACGTATTATAATTCAGAAAAAGATATACGTACATCGCTTGAATCCTCTGGATCCATCTCCATTGGAGATGAGGGTTCAATTCCAGCCAAGCAGAGATGATCGACCCCAAACCAGTGGTAACCATGCTCACCATGGAGAAAACAGCCATAGGCAGGCTGCGCCTGGAATATAAAGTATAAAGTGAATGCAGGGCCACGAAAAACGCAATCACGTACTCCTCAGGTCCCCATATATCGGCAATCGTTCCACCCACCAGTATTGCACCGGTCGAAGCAAAAGCACCGCCCAAGATACGCGCAACCATAACAGTCTGGATATTATCGGAGCTACAGTTCATCAATTGTCAATCCAGTCCACAAGAAGCCAGAACTGCGGCACACACAAAGCAGCAAGCACGTTGCACATAGCCCCAAGAAATACCGACACCAAGTAAATTGGCCTCCTCCCAATTTCCTGTAGGAAGCCATAAGCGCTGATCGACAACCTTGCTGTCATTTCATACCTCACTCAGTGCGGACGTGAAGAGAGGAACAATACCAAAACCTAGAGAATAAAGACAGTATGCAACAGTAGCTTGAAAGCGCGTGCAGTTAAGATCCCGTATCATGGAATCGTAACCCATAGCAAATGATGGAGTCGCAGGGGCTAAGGATGCCGATCAACCAGTAATATTTTGGGGGGATTCATAAGCCTTACAAGTGATCCCATTGAATGCACAGACGAACAGGGTAATGCACCATTTTCGCGTCCATGAGTAGTTGATTGGATTCCTCGGGTCTCCACATCGAAACTCCACCTAGCAGTATTGATGTTAATGTAACGGACGGATGAGCAGAAAAGTGGTAATACTGACATAGAACGAATCTGTGGGGGAGACTATGGTCGACGCAGCATAAACCGAGTCTGTAGGTGAGCCTATGGTCGAGGCAGACTTGTTGGCGTTGGGAAGGGTCCCAAGGGATAGAGTCTTCACCGGACTGATGGGCACATTGAGCAGCATCGGGGACATGTTTTCAGGGGCATTGTCCGTGCCCATAACTGAAATTGGAGAAGACTGCACCGACGGGCTGGCTATGCGGAATGGGCCCTTGTTACGACCATTGAGAACGTTGGCTTTTGAAGAGAACTGGCACCGTCACTCCGGTGGCGGAATTGTCATATTCGAAAATGGTTGCTTCATCTGTGAGGTTTCGGGGTGGGGGTGCATGTTACGTGTTCGGCGAATCTATTGAGATCGATCATCCTAGGGTCGTTTAGGCCATTGACGCAATCGAATGCCGTGTTTGTTTGTTCGGTTTCGTAGTGCATACTCGGAGAAGGCTTCCCGGCTCTTGGAGGACTGTATAGCCGTAGCATCATTATGAAGTCTAGCACACAATTTACGAGTCAACGGGCATCAGCGTCAATGTGCGTTGAGCCGTGAGGACAAACGCATGGAAATGCAACCATACAGTTGTCATATAACCCCGGCAATATTTTCGTCGTTCGCCTTAGTCACAAACCGCGTAGTGTCACAGTGAGGGTCGAAGGCGAGTATCATTGTTCCGAATAGTAAATGTAACAGGACGGAGATCACGCCAGGTGCGATATCAACAGGAATGATGTTGGCCCTCAGGAGAGCGGAGTATACTCAGGCCGTTAGCTAGAGCTGCAAAAGCAGCTTTGGGGCAGACACACCGAGTACTAGGAGTGCTTTCAAAGTTCATCTACTTTCTACCAACTTCAATATCAGCATATTCTACTACACCATTAGCATCCAAGGAGCCTTTTTGGACGGTTTCGCCGCGAGCTTTAAGGAGATCCTCGATATTTCTGAGTTTTCCATCCTCTGTGCTATCCTTGAACCAACCGAGATTATCCGCGATGAGATGCCTGACGGGGAAAATATAGGCTGTGAGATTTAGCAGCAACGAAATCGATGGGCCCGCACCTATTTTTGCATCCAGGGCATTGGACAATGACAATACCACGTTCGTATGCACGCTTCGTAAAGGTGTGCGAAGAACGATGAGAGCATGCTTCCGCTGTACAGGTAAAAATGATGCCTAAGCGAGCCTCTTGGATCGGATGATCATCCTTAATCTGCTCCGAGGATGGCGAAACCGACAAGTTTGCCCGAGGCGTGTTTGGGTGCACGGACGATTTTGATCGTGTAGTTCCAAAGGAAAGACAAGCAGTTTGTGAAACCCTTCTAGATGTCAATTTAGTGCATGGTGTAACGTGGACTCTGTAGGGTATACGGATATTGTTGATGTTACGAAAAAGTTTTGACGAAAACATCCTGCTACAACTCTGAGTGACTAGTCCGAGTGTAAGGCAAGGTTAATAGCCGGCGCTTGGTACCACGAAACTTAAATCTCCACGACGCTACGATTACATAACGATGTCTGGCTCATATCATATTCTCGAGAGCTCTGAAGTTGTTTTGGTGCACGACGTAGTGCTGCAAAACGAAATTTCAGCTCCTGAAGCTTTGAAGGCCTGACGGGTTGCAAGTTCTCGAGCTTCTAGCTCGGCACTTACAGTTACCTCAATGGAATTACCCGCTCAAGGTGCGCTACCGTGACCGTGGCGAATATGCCACTGTCAGGAATTTACTCATCGTGCGGTGCGGTACGTTACTCATACTGCGTATATCGTATGAAGGCTAAGAGGAGGTATCCTGTCAATGCACATGCTTCGTTCACTAGTGCTACGTTATGCTCGGGCTCCATTTGTACATTCCGAACCAACAACACGTAATTCGGTACGATACATGCTGAGTGAGTATCTGGATCTTGTAGCTGCAGTGTTAACTTGATGCGGGTAGACTAGTTTCTGAGAGCTTGCTGATCACGGTGGGGTACCCTTACGGCTGTCACTTGGCCGGGGGGGGGAGCTGATATGCGGTAACGAGCTTATTTTCTGCGCGGCAATGACTCGAAGCGATCAAGCTGATTATAGGCCCACCGCTGACTCAAACGGTGGAGAGACTCGAAGGTATTATATATAATTTGAGCTACCAGAACGGGTTGTATAAGACATGTTGTTCATTTCGGTCTGTTTTACAGCATGCTGACCGTGGCCCTGTATAATATGGGTTTGTAAGGCGCAGGAACTTGAGGGAAAGATGAAAGAAATTTAACCGGAGCAGCACGTCAGCCGAATACAGCACACGAACAAGTACTAATATCGGGCACCTGCTCGATTTCGGTGGCGAGATACTAGGTAGTCAGATGTGCAGAACATGCCATCGGAAACTAGCGTACAGTATATCACACAAATTGGCACTTAGCGAGGCGTCATAGCAAGTCATCAAATGAAGAGTGTAATAGGTGTAAAAATCAGATTATGGGAGCAACAAGGGGAGCTGCAGGCCATCAGCAGAATATAACATGAGCAGAAGCAACGTTGCACGCAGAAACAAAACAAGAAAACATGACAGCGGAATGTTTGAATTTCAATGTCCGAATATCTTGCAGGCAGCGCAGCATTGATCGCGACCGTCGGAAGTTTAAACGTGGAAAGTTTGTGGTCCGACTTATGGTTTTTTGATCCGGCCTAGTTCTGCAGACAAGTAATGTACGTGCATACATGAATATCTAATTGGACTCAATGTCAAATCCCTGAAGTGCCGATATTAACTTGTGAGGTATCAAGAAATGCCCAAATCGCGGAAAATTTGTGGGAAATAACCCATAAGGCCCCTGAACGGTTCCGCCAGCTGATCCGGAGTAAGCTGCATCATCCACTGGACATCCGAATCCTAAGATCATAAGTAGCCCTAGCTGTCGCATGTTCGGCCCCACATCCAAAGATCGAAAGCCGTCCGTGTTCAATTTCAGCAATTGTAACATGAGAGATTTCGTAAGCTGCGTAGCACTGCTGGAGGGTGTATTCCCATTTTGCAAGGCCAGAGAGACGTGCACGTTAAAAGAACCTGGAACGATGTTAATACGAATTATATGCCATTCACCTAGACGCTTGCTATTGGTTGTATTGCCATATGGGATTCAGAGAACTGTCAGATGCGGAGGAGCTTCAATTAGGATTTTCCAGATCTGCCTGCTGGAGTACAAAAATAAATCAACGGTGTGAGAGCGAGATGGAAGATACCAAATTGGCTAAAGAGGGACGCTGCCAAATATCATCATCTGCCGGATCAAACTAGAATGGAAAAGGTACTGAAGCCGAACAAATTGTATCGTGCTGTAAACAGCACGTTACCAAAATAAATGGATTAGAACCCAAAGGGTCCTTCGAGAAGCTGCCTTCGATGAGCTGGTGCCACTAGTATAGTAGGCTGAAAGAACTTTTGAGCTACGCGTGGTGGACAACTGTATGAACAGTTCCGTAAGCAGTCCGAGGAGCCATAAATAGGTGTAGGGTCAACGCCACTGTCGGCCATAGCCATATGAATATATATTATACACAATAAAAAGGGATGAGAAGACATGTTGGATGGTGGTCCTTCACAACGTCCAAGGTAAAACTCACACAACCAACGATTAAGACAAAGGCTAGGTCTGTGGGCCAGCTGCGCCTCGATGAATCCCTGTAGTAAAGAGAAACATCGAGAATGAGAGTACCGAGAGGAAAAGTCACCAAGAAATGTACCTACAACACCATCGTGACATGAGGATTTGAGCAACTGTGGCAAGAAACGGGACTGACAGAATACTGATGATGGGGAGAATGCTGAGGTCGGTGGTGATCTTGATGATGGATCTTAATGAAATTACAAACTGACCCTATGCGGGTTACCTGTCCACTTCATGCCCCAAGGACCGAGGAGGCCGCCTCTCTTCATCGCTGTGTCAAATATGAGCTAGAGGGCACAGCATGTGGAACGAGCGATACAGAGAATAGAATTGACGTGTGCAGTGTGGAATAATCGTATGGATGCAGACAGATACAGAACGCCTACTGTGGTGATGATATTACTGTGTGGGGAGGGACTATAAATCAGCTGCAAGTGATACCACATGAGAGATTAACATATACCTGGAGTACACCGCTAACGGGACACGGACCCATGAATTAAATCCAGCAAGACGAAGGACCCGACGACAGGACCCGAAACGCAAAGGTCGATGCGACTTGACGGCGAGGGACTTACACTTTTCATTGTCACAGTCGGTGGAAGTGATCGTGTTCTTCAGTTGTTGCCGATACACCGCATGGATCACAAGCCACGGCAAGGATTAGCAACGACACATGAACTGCCGGTCTTACAAATTATATCGGCGTCCCACTGACAATGCCTTTGCCCATATACCGCTCTTGAGGATAATGACACCACGTTCGTTGCATTGCAGGCTTAAGGATATTTTGCTGATGGTGGCACCAACGATGGGCCAGTACTCTCATCCTATCCTGGAGGTACGCTCGCCATTGCAAATGATCTCAGGTGTAGCAACTCGCGGATGCTGGAGCTATGGTTCTGGGCTCATATCTCCGTCATGGCGTTCCGGTGGTGCTCAAGTTTGTAACAGCAGTGCGGATGCACTCATACTGATCCCTCGCGCGTGCATCTTCTACACGGTGTTTCCTGCATCACCCATCATGGTTCGCCCCAGTGGATCGGTAAAATACTTGTTGTTCTCCTTGTAGTCGCAATTGGGTCTGGGCTCGACGTTAGCTGGGTGTGGAGGATGTCGCACCTTGGAACGCGTGATTACAATTAGAGCGCGTGTATATCCATCGTCACCCACCCCACACACGATGCGGGCGATACTGGGTGAATTGGTTTCTAGTCATAGACTTCCGGAGATCTACGTGATATCATGTGTTTCATTCATTTCAGTGGGAGAGACCTGATGGATTGATGAACTCTGAGTTACGAGTGGATGCCGACAGATCATCGATTATTGTCGAACATATTCGAGATGAGTCATGGGTTTGGTATCTTGCCCACAGTGGTGTAGGCTCTTCGGTGATAGAGTAAAGGTAACGTCCATAATTTGTCATTCTTGAACTGACCCTCCGGCTCTTGGACATCCTCCACACGTAAAACACGTGCGATGAATAGCTCTGAAGCCAACCCACTGCCGCCTTCTACTTGCTGCACCTCCGTTTCCCACTCCTCCATGCTCGAATGCAACCACCGCGTATCACTCAAGGGCAATGACCGACCGACCACAGCGCAGGAGAGCGCGCCTAAAGCACCTTTGATCACTGGGAGACCATCTGCAGACTGCGTCCACTGCACCTCCGAATTCGAAAAGGGGTGCAGATCTGGACGGGAGAACAATTGTGCAATATGGGGTTGTGCAGCAGAAAGGATGTTGACGACCATATGGGACGACATTTGCATTTGGGGCTTTGATGCGTGGCCATTTAGAGCCAGAGCCATCCGTGAAGGGACGCGGAGAGAGAATGCGACAAGCGGATGCGGATCGAGCGCGATGGACGTGAAAGACGACAATGTAGCGCCATGAAAGATTGACGGTGCTTTTTTCTGGTATTGTATGGACGGATCACTTCGTGGTGCAGTTTCATGGTCTGGTAGGGTTGACGTGACTACCGCCACAGGCTGAGCTGTCTCTCGGAGAAGATTGCGCAGAGATTGTTTGACGAGCTTTGCTTGTGCAGATGGCGCAGAGCTATAGCTTCGGAGTAGGTTGTCGCTCAGATTATGCGTCGCACATCTGACAGTACTTGTGCATGACTGTAGCATATTGAATTTTGGCTACATGAGATAGTAATAGTATGTACCAAAACATCATTGGGAGTCGCTGACTAATACAAAGCATCATTTTCCAAATCACTGTTAGCACAGTGCACACTGTACATTACGAGCTACGGGATTGAGTCGATTACAGTAATACACCGTCATTTGAGCATGCATCGGCACGCCCATCTGGACACCAGGCATTCGTCAATACCCAATCTGTTCTGTTGACCATCAAAAGTCGTTCTATGCACCCACCGCTCGCGGCCCAGGTAAGTTTTGTTTGAATAGTAAAAACGTGGGCTAATTGTATGGTCCTTGTGAACCATCACCAGCACCAGTAATAGACACTTCAAGGGATCGATGTGTGCGAGCTGCCATGAGCAATCAGACAGATAATCATTATCAAGCTCATTGAGGTCGTCGTCGTCGTCGTCCAGCATAACCGCGAGCCCCGTGTGGATGAGGAGTTAGGCTTGCCATGTCGATGCAAGATGTGCTTGAAGTTCACCCTGTGTTGATGCGCTGCACACATCGGGTTACGGTGGCTGCGTCGGCATGCTCTCGGCAGCGTTGCGGACCTTTTAAAATATCAACTGAATTCAGCTGGGCTCAGCTCATGAGCTGAGCCCGAGAGTTCAACAACCCTAATAATAAGGCTTATTAGCTGGGCAACTTAGGTGAGCCACATAAATATTGCAGCGCGTGAGGCACTCAACGATACGCATTAGATACCCACAATGATTTTGCTCACTCTCTCCACTGAACATGTTCGCAATACCGTCATCACCAACGAGCAAGGACAAGTTATTTACAAGACAGCCACTCCGTCCAGACTAGTTGGCACTCGCACCACGACCATTCAGAAAATCAGGCCAAACGATAACCAGGAACATATGCGCGACCAGTTCGATGTCTTAGGAGAGATCGAGTGGCACACATTTGTTTCCTCGAAGTTTCGATCCCATGGAACTGAAGTGAAGACGGAGGTGTTTATACCGAAGAGAGGCCTATGGGGTCGGTGAGTACATAGCGTCCTTCTAGGAAATCCGAGTCGTCATGAAATTCTGGCAGGAAGCGTGTCTTCACAGGACCAGATGGCCGTCCCTATCGCTGGGACCTCACGTCCAAAGTGGTAGTTGTGAGTACACTTCCATTTCTTTGATGCTGATGCCTCTGTTTTTCTCATGATGATGATGACTCGGATTCTAGCTCTCGCGAGACGATAAGCCTCGGACAGAGGTCGCTCGCTTTCATAGAGCGACTCTAGGAATTATAGGAAGGAAACGTAAAGCCACGTTGGAAGTATCCCCTGAAGTGGCTCATATGATGGATACTGTCATCATGACGTTCATCTATGTGGAGCAACTCAGGAAAGACAAAGAAGAAGCCTCGAGAAGAGCCGCAGTCTCGAATGCGAATGCACGCTATCAAATGGGATTGAGAAATTGAAGTGTCGTGTTATGATTGATACCCTTTATGATAACTAAGCTTACTTACCAGTATTAATACGATCTGTGGGAAGATGTTCAAAATCTGGCCAAGTCTAGGACTCTAGGTCTGTTTTGATCCGCACACTCCGGAGGTGTAGTGATATGATTGAATCAACAATCAATATTTCAATCATTCCTTACGCCAGCGGTGGTGAATTTGAGCCCTTACCTCGAGCCGTAGCTATCATCCTAAGTATTGGTACCTGGTCCAGGATATGCATGCTGGAGAGCAGAAGTAGATTGTTTTTCTTTATTGCGTCGCCATACAAAATAGACAGGGGTCTGAAGATGCTCTTTGCATTCCCTGTTGGATCATGGTCCCAAGAGTCCGCACATCGACTCTAGCACATGCAATTCTGCACGAAATCCTTATCCATGATAAATGTGGATTCCCCCAAACATAACACATACTGCCACATATATTTCGAAGCAGATCTCGTCCTATGGGCAACTTATTGGTGCGAGAGGCATAGAAGGCTCGTCAGATCTCCATATAAAATTCTAGAATATTGTGAGATGGTTATACATGATTAGAGAATACTAAACAAATTTATCCAGGGCACATGCTCGTCAGGATCACCTGCGACAAAATAAATTGCCCATATATAAAGAATCGGAGCACGCTCGAGTCCATGGCTCGTCTGGAGGACAAGTACTGTGATTAGCAGTAAGTGTATTGGTTACATAATGCGCACTTAGGAACAACCGCAGCAGTGGTCGCGGCAGTTGCCGCAGCAGTCGCAACAGTGGCGCAGCAGGGCCCTAACATTTCCAAATGACTCTTAGCGCTGGATTGAGTCGACTACAGTGATACACCGTCATTTGTGCACGCATCGGCACGCCCATCTGGACACCCGGCATCTGTCAATACCCACTTTGTTCTGTTTGACCATCAAAAGTCGTTCGATGCACCCACCGCTAGCAGCCCAGGTAAGTTTTGTTTGAAATAGGGGAAACTTGGACTGATTGTATGGTCGTCCTTGTGAACCATCACCGGCACCAGTAATAGATACTTCAAGGGATCGATATCTGGGTGCTACCATGAGCAATGCCATCACAGACAAATAATCATCACCAAGGTCATCATCGTTGTGGAGCTCATTGAGGTCATCGTCATTGTTATCCAGCACAACCGCGAGCCCCATGTGCATGAGGAGTTAGGCTTGCCATGTCAATGCAAGATCAGTGCTTGAACTTAACGTTCAGCCTGTGTTGATGCGCCGCACACGTCAGTGGCTGCGTCGGCATGCTCTTGGCAGCGTTGCGGAACTTTTAAAAATATCAACTGAATTCAGCTTGGCAAGAATTGAACAGCCCTAATATTAAGGTTTACTACCGGGCACCACAGGTGAGCCACATTCGCTTCACATAAATATCATATTGCAGCGTGTGAAGCACTCAACGATACCTATAAGATACCCACAATGATTTTGCTCACTCTCTCCACTGAACATGTTCGCAATACTGTCATCACCAACGAGCAAGGACAAGCTATTTACAAGACAGACACTCCGTTCAGACTAGGCACCCGCACCACGACCATTCAGAAAATCAAGCCAAACGACAACCGGGATCATATGTTTGACCAGTTCGATGTCTTAGGAGAGATCGAGTGGCACACATTTGTTTCCTCAAAGTTTCGTTCCCATGGAACTGAAGTGAAGGCGGATGTGTTCATACCGAAGAAAGGCCTATGGGGTCGGTGAGTACATAGCGTCCTTCTAGGAAATCCGAGTCGTCATACAATTCTGGCAGGAAGCGCGTCTTCACAGGACCAGATGGCCGTCCCTATCGCTGGGACCTCAAGTCCAGCGTGGTAGTTGTGAGTACACTTCCGCTTCATTGATGCTGATGCCTCTGTTTCTCTCATCATGATGACGACTTGGATTCTAGCTCTCGCGGGACGATGCGCCTCGGACAGAGGTTGCTCGCTCTCATAGAGCGACTCTAGGAATTATAGGAAGGAAACGTAAAGCCACGTTGGAAGTATCTCCTGAAGTGGCTCATATGATGGATACTGTTATCACGACGTTCATCTATGTCGAGCAACTCAGGAGGGACGAAGAACAAGCCAGAGCAGCCGCAGCGTGATGTTTACCACATTGCTGACGCAGCATATAATGCAGCCTGTGACGTAACACCCTTCGATGATGCGTCTTATCTACATCGCTGATTGGACACCATGCACGATATAGATACTTATATGAAGCTCGACCTACCCGTACTCGATTATCATCTCCTCTTCACCGCTTATCAATCATACGCTCTTCCACGTTACTGTTCCGTCTCTCAATATTACCGTCGACGTACGGTTCCACGCAGCCTCGAATGCCTATGAAATGGGATCGACAAACTTAGGTGTCGTGCTATGATCGATCCCCTTTAAGATGACTAGTCTTTTCTTACAAGCATTAATACAATCTGTGGGAAGGTGAGCAGGTCTGTTTTGATCTGTGCATTCCGGAGGGTGTTATGCTATCTAAATCAATCATGAATAATTCTTTTGGCCATTGCCATAAAGATAGACAAGGGTCTGAAGATGCTCATTGCATTCGCTCTATTAATTTCCTGCACTGGCGAGTCCACTTTCCCAGCACGTTGAAAGTTATCTGGCAGCTCATACTCCTGGCTGTCTCGAACATGCTCTGGACAACCTATTTGCGACTTGATCATGGTAAGCCTTTTCCCCTTAGAGCCAACCGAGATGTCTAACATAGGGTCAGTTGACGAATTATAATCTGAAGCAAAAGTCAACGGAGCTGGCCCCAGACGCGTGACGAGCAGCTGGTAGCTCTCCGATAAAAGGTTATCTCCATCTGCTCGTTGTACTCAATCATTCCTTTCGCCAGCGGCGGTGAACCCTTACCTCGAGCCGTAACTATGATCCTAAGTATTGGTACCTTGGTCATGCTGAAGAGCAGAAGTGGATTGTGTGTCGCCATAAAAAATAGATGGGGGTCTGAAGATGCTCTTTGCATGAGTCAGAGGGTCATGGTCATACTCTTGAGATGGTTCCAATTAGAGTCCGCGCATCAACTCTGGCACACGCAATTCTACACATAATCCTTATCCATGATAGATTTAGATCAATGCACGCCCGCAAGCCTGATTGACGAAAACGCTGCACTAGCAGAGTCACTTCAACTTTGCTATATGACTGTCGAAACGGTCTAGTTACATGAAAATCAGCTTAGCGCGGGCCAGGTTCAGCAACTATGTCGAGCAACAGGCATCAGGACCTCAGGAGCGACAGGTAAAAACGTCCCATGGAGGACCAAGAACGCGAAGAAAGATGCCATCAACCGCGTTAGGCTTGAGACAAATGCCCGCAATTACGCAGTCACTCATTAAAAAGAAATAAAAATAATGTTGGATGCGGAGGAATCAAATTACAATCCAATATGAACGATTGTTTAGTAACAAGGAAGATAGTGGGCCGGCGTTGTTGAAACAATATATGGGAGACCTGACTTGCAGACCGGGAGTACTGTGAATCTCGATGATATTGCCTGACCGTGACTCTGGGAGCGTGGATATACATACAAGGAATCAGAGCACGCTCGAGTCCATGGCTCGTTTGGAGGACAAGTACTGGGAGGTTCCAGTGATTAGCAGTAAGTGTATTAGTTAATGCGCACTCACCGACACCATTTAGGAACACCGCGGCAGTGGCGCAGCATTTTCACGATGCTCCATCATTTCCAAATGACTCTTAGCGCTGGATTGAGTCAATTGCAGTAATACACCGTCATTTGAGCACGCACATCTGGACACCCGGCATCCGTCAATACCCACTCTGTTCTGTTGACCATCAAAAGTCGTTCGATGCAGCCACCACTAGCAGCCCAGGTAAGTTTTGTTTGAATAGGGGAAACGTGGGCTGATTGTACGGTCGTCCAGACTCGTCCTCCCTGTGAACCATCACCGGCACCAGTAATAGATACTTCAAGAGATCGATATATGAGTGCTGCCATGAGCCATGCCATCGCAGACAGATAATCATCATCAAGGTTGTCGAGCCCATTGAGGTCATCGTCATTGTCGTCCAGCATAACCGCGAGCCCCATGTGCATGAGGAGTTAGGCTTGCCATGTCAATGCAAGATGCAGTACCAGCCTGTGTTGATGCGCTGCACACATCGGGTTACGGTGGCTGCGTCGGCATGCTCTCGGCAGCGTTGCGGACCTTCTAAAAATATCTTGCCAAGAATTGAACAGCCCTAATAATAAGGTTTACTAGCTGGGCAACACAGGTGAGCCAAATTCGCTTCACATGAATATCATATTGCAGCGTGTGAAGCACTCAACGATACGCATTAGAGATAACCCACAATGATTTTGCTCACTCTCTCCACTGAACGTGTTCGCAATACCGTCATCACCAACGAGCAAGGACAAGCCATTTACAAAACAGACACTCCGTTCAGACTAGGCACCCGCACCACGACCATTCAGAAAATCAAGCCAAATGATAACCAGGAACATATGCGCGACCAGTTCGATGTCTTAGGAGAGATTGAGTGGCACACATTTGTTTCCTCAAAATTCCGTTACCATGGAACTGAAGTAAAGACGACGGAGTTCATACCGAAGAAAGGCCTATGGGATCGGTGAGTACATAGCGTCCTTCTAGGAAGTCTGAGTCGTCATGAAATTCTGGCAGGAAGCGCGTCTTCACAGGACCAGATGGTCGTCCCTATCGCTGGGACCTCAAGGCCAGAGTGGTAGTTGTGAGTACACTTCCGCTTCATTGATGCTGATGCCTCTGTTTCTCTCATCATGATGACGACTTGGATTCTAGCTCTCGCGGGACGATAAGCCTCGGACAGAGGTCGCTCGCTTTCATAGAGCGACTCTAGGAATTATAGGAAGGAAACGTAAAGCCACGTTGGAAGTATCTCCTGAAGTGGCTCACATGATGGATACTATCATCGTGACGTTCATCTATGTCGAACAACTTAGAAGGAACAAAGAACAAGCCTCGAAAAGAGCCGCAGCGTCAGCCTGATAGGCTTACTGCAGCACTGACGCAGCATATGATGTAGCCTATGACGCAATACCCTTCGATGACGCATCTTATCCACATGGACACTGTGCCTACCTGTACTTGGAGATCATTACCGCTTATCAATCATACGCTCTGCCACGTTATTGTTCCGTCTCTTAGTGTTGCCATCGACGTACGGTTCCACGCAGCCTCGAATGCGAATGTACCTATGAAATGGGATTGACAAACTTAGGTGTCGATGATACCCTTCATGATAACTAGTCTTCTCTAATACAATCTGTGGGAAGATGGGCAGGTCTGTTTTGATCCGCACATTCCGAAGGGTGTAGTAATAATCTAGAATCTGAAGCACAAGTCAACCGAGCTGACCCCAGACGCGCGACGAACAGCTAGTAGCTCTCCGATAAAAGGTTATCTCCATCTGCTCTTTGTATGCAACATCCTCTTTGCAAACCTTAACATGAGAGCGTCCCTTGGAGAACGGTAATCCGCAGTGGAGATGTTTGCTGCAGTTGAACCTCATCCTGTAGCTTTGACGCTGAAAAATAGTCCTGAGGCCTCCATGCGAAGTGATTTGTGTCTGAGCTCGGAACTGGCAGCATGATAGCGGACGGCTATACTTGTTTATTTAATGTTTGTTTAGATTCTATGGACGATGAGTTACAGTTATTGTGGACACTCTTGGTAGAGGGGAATGCCAGATCATAGTGTCACATCTACGCATGTGTAAATTGGAGAATAAGAGTAAGAAATTTACAATATAGTTATTGACCCTGCCCAAGATCCAAGCGCCATTCTTCCCGTAGTGTCTGAGACAGCGCACACTGTGATGTCATCTTTCGGGTCAATGTAAGTCCTCGGCTGTGCAAATGAGTCTCATCAAGACCAACCTTGTAACGGTATATCATGAACCACTTGGCCGTTAATTAACCCTGGCCTTTCCGAGTCGACGTTTGCTTGTAGTGAACCACTACTCCAGACTCGGGCTTCTTCTGATGTATTACTAACGTCTCGAGGATTTGTAAATGCCACGACGGTACGGATCATGCTGGTCCGGGACCTTGCTACCCAGATCCCGCGTTTTCCGTAGTCTCCCAATGCCCAAGCTGATACAAATGTCCTCGCGTCATGTACAGTTCCAAACGGGACCGGAGGCACCAGTGGTGGCGGTAAATCTTCAGGCAGCGGCGCCGCGATAAATTGTGGCGAAGCGATTGCCATGGGTCGGACACCCAAAGGCGAGACTGACAATGATGGCAAGGGACGCACTGTTAACTCCACATAGAAAAGAAATATCCCATGGAATAGATCGTTTGCAAGCGCGGATAGCCCATAAATCTCGGATTCATCGTCATTGATACATGTCGTTTTTGTGAGGGATACACGGCGATATGTCATGGTGTGTGGGAATCTGAATGTGAGTTGGGGTAAAATATCAGAGCGCTCTCCAACTCCAGAAGATAAATGCGAGGGGAGAGGATATGCCTCGACGGTGTGCATTCTAAAGACTAGGATATACGGCCCACATATCCGCATGGCGGTAATACCATTCCACTACAAAAAAAAGGCAAATTTTCAGCTGAATAGGTCATTCCATTTGACTTGACTCACTAAATCTCCAGGATCATTAGCGCGAAGGGCTACTGTAGCCTGAGCTTTAGTTCTCCAGTTCACAACTTCGAAGGATAAAGCAGTGTTAGAAAGTAAGGCGAGCTCCAAGTCGGCATCGATCGCTCTGATGACTTGTGGTGGAAAGATTGAAAATTCTCCCCGAGTGACTAGAACTGGAGGTCCTGATTCCGACGAACCACTGGTATCGAGAGAGATGGTTAAAACTCTCGCAGCAACGCTAGAAATCAACATTCGTTGGAGCTAGAGACTCATAAGAAATGATAACTGACAGTTCGACATGAGTCAATGCAATAGCAAGTACAGAGCCAGCTGTATTCAAATGATATGCACAAGGATACCACGTCGAAGAAGCATAGGTGACAAAAAGCTCTGCAGCAAAAGGTGCGAAAACATTGTTGATTTTCCACAAATTGATTTTCCCCTCAGAGCCCAAGGACAACAAATGGTGGTCGGAGACGAATGCTAGGTATCGGACACGAGGAATCGAGTTCTCAATGTCATCTGAATCACATCGTTCCTTGATAAGAAAAGTGTCCTTTCTTGGCAACAGCCATACTTGCTCGACGTGCATTGCAGTTTTGATCAGGCGTTCCAACTGCAAAGTCGACAGTGTCGCAGTTTCTGACTCAGAAAGCGACCGCGGAAGGACATGGGACATCCGAGATATTAAAGTGAGCCATAAGCTGCGGTCATGGGTGAATTGAAACAAGGATGTGGACGTCTGTAATGCTTGGCTTCAGTTCACGCCTGTACGCACAAAGAAAAGGGGGTGCCTTGCGCAGAGAAAGGATCGTCTCCACATCTAAGAAGCTGGCAACTTGAAGCTGAAGCTCGACAGGGAGATTATGCATCTTCAAGTTTGTTGGAAGTACTATAGTACTAGAGTGAGGGTGGCTGTGCAATGTATTATATAAATCTAAGTATTTTAGTATTGTTACTATGGATGGATCTCTAGGTAAGACTTTGTACATACTGGTAATCGTGAATGTATGGCAGTAAGTAATTACGTGAAACTGGTCCAATCGGTGATTGCAATGCACATCAAAAAGGCATCGAACTTGTCAATGAAAATTAATACTATGTAGCCTTGCAAGAGATAGTCAGTGACGGTGCAATATTACTGCCGTTACGGCGATGATGATGACGACGACGACGTTGAACGGAGTAGCCAATCAGGACTGTCCAGGGACGATTGGATTACTTGCAAGTCATCCGATTCCTCAGCTTCAGAAGCACCAGGCATGAGATTGTTACGCCACTCGTCCGACGTGGCACTGCGAAAGAAAGACGGCACATGTTTAGAACAAAGACGAGTGAAGGGGAAGGGAAATGAGGAGTACCTTGTTGTTGTTCTTGATCTAGCAACTTGGAGAGGAAGTTTAATTGCAGTTGTACCTCCAAATAAAGTAGGGTGCGGGCGTAGTACAGTTGGAAATTTCGACCTATGTGGTCGCGGAGTAGATTCTTCGTCAATCTCGGGAACAGGATTCAAAGGCGTATTGCCGACATCCACATCTGCGTCATGATCGTTGCCTTTGGGATTCTTCGACCGCCTGGTGCGAGTTTTTGTTTTCGACGACGATGCAGCATCAGAGTGTTGGCCAATGTCATTGGCACTAAGAACTGCATGCGTGGTTGGCCGTCTGACTCGGGGCTGTTCGTTTTCGTCCATGATCTCTATGGTGTTGTCATCTGAAATCTGCATGTTGGAAGAATCAGACTTGGCAGAAGTGGTGCGGTATATCATCCTAGCGCCTGTCCTAGAGCGCATAGATCGCCGGCTCGTCGAACTATACACAGACATGTCGTCGGTCCCGGAGTCCGTAGTTGTTCCTGACCCAGGTTTCACAGTGTTCGTCAACGGCCTGCGTCGGGTTGCCGACTCGCTCGCTTCGCTAACTTCATGAGAGGAATGCCGCGCAAGCTCCTTCGATTTCTTCAGTTGCTCTGCCCGCTGGCGAGCTTTCTCTTTCCTCTCCATCTGGGCTGCGCACTTACGCTTCTCCTGCTCCTCTTTCCACATCTGCTCCTCAAGCTTCTCTTCTTCTTCAAGCTCCAACCTTCTGGCTTTGGCACGTTCCATAACAATGCGATCCGCAACACCCTCATCGTCATCATCATCACCGGTTGCCGCGCCCTTACCAAAACCAGTATCGGGGAACATGGCAACACCATACTGCGAGCTTTCACGGAGGGTCACAATTGCGTCGTCCCTGTCGAGACAAAGGTCTTGCATGATGAGCCCTACTGCAGTTTCGGGGATCAGTACGAGCTGAATGAACTCCGCAGGTGTGAGAGGGGCTATCGAGGAAGGTTCAAATGATGACAAGGGGAAGAGATTGTAGAGCGTTTGATGTATGATCAACAAGCCGAGTTCACCATAGCTAGGACACCATTTAGTACACACAGACTGACGAGAATCGAATGCACTTACTATCCAGGCTGAGTCTTTTCAAAATTGGTAAACTGGCCCTTCACACCAGTAACCGTTCGACTGCCTTGTTTCTTAATTTGCTTCTTGATTTCTCTCCAGAAGTCACTTCGTGCTCGAGGACCCTTGACATCATCGTCCACAGAATCCTCATTGTCATTGTGGATGCGGCAATCGCTGATTATAGCTTCAAGCGCGCCCCTCATCCTCTCAATCCTCTTCGGTACCTTCTTGAAGTCGATACTTTGTGGCCATCCCTTCTCCATAGCTTCAGGCAAGGAGTGCGTTTCGAAGTGATGTCGCTGACAAGCTGCGATGTAAATTCCTAGAGGAGCCTTAAGCCCGCGAGAATTTCGAGGACGCGGGTCTGGGTATGACTTCCGCTTCGCAGCCGACAAAAGATTCATCAGTTGTGGAGTTGGATTACGCGGCAGTGGTTCATCACAGTACGGGCAAAGTGTAGAAGGATCAAGCATTCTGTCTGTTTCAACTGCACGTATAGGGTGTTCAAGTGTTAAATGAAGAATACTGGATGAAAAGAAAGACCTACACGAGTCCTCATCCAGGTATTCATCTGCACCCTGAGTCAGCCTTGTTAAGATTCAGCCATTGAGACAGGAAGTGCAACGATCATGAAGAAGATTTACCTTAATTTTTCTTCTTTGTGTCTCTTGGCTCTTCGCCCGTGCTCTCCATCGCTATCATCCGAAGCTCGCTTGGACTTCATGCTCTCCGAAGACGACTGAGGGCTACGCCGATGTGCAAGTTTTGATTTTGGTTGAGCTCACGGGGAAGGGTCTAAGGGCCACATTGGTCCGTACAGTATCGCGGTGGTTTATAGCAATTTCACCGTCGTCTTCGTCCTGATCAGAAGTTAGTGCACGTCTCTTCCCCTTATCCCGCGAGGGTTGTTGCACTGGGGAAGCCAATGGGGAAGGCACAGGGAAGTTTCCAAGTGTCTCTGAGTGAGCGAGGCCTGGCTTCGAATTGTGCGAAGATAGTGGAAAGGGGCTGAATCCCGTAGGTCCGAGGAGTTGCTGCTTCGGAAGATTTGACTTTCCCAGAGGGCTCATAGGGAAAGGAGCGCCGTGTTGACGTGACAGTGCATTTGTCTTCTCCTGCGGCTGAGGGCCCGCGGGGAAAGGAGCATTAGGTTCACGTGGTAGTACGCTTGTCTTCTCCTTCGGCTTGCATGTAGGTATATTTGCATTTTCCTTTTTCGCTGCTGAGGGCTCTCGAGAACTCTTCCAAGGAGGAGAAGCATCAGAAGCGCGTGAGCCCCCACCATATACAGAGGAATGACCACCCAAAGGGAATGGTCGAGGCTGCCCGCTAGCACGCGGAGTTGCTTCGGGACTCCGACCACGAACAACTGAGCCCTCAGCCTTCACAGCTCGGGCCTTAGTAACGCGCTTGGGAAGTCCGCCTTCTCTAGTCAGTGATGAATTGGCCGTCTTCCTGGATACAGAGTTCCTTCCTGGACCCGGACGCGCAAAGGTCGTGCCCATCTCTTTCTTCGGCTTGGTTGCAGGCTTTGTCTGAGAGGCTTTGTCGTCGGATATTGGTCTGAATAGTTCTTGAGAGTCGTCTGCATCGGGAAAAGATGATGATGGAGGCAAATCCGGAATACCCTCTTCTACCTGCGACTCCTTCTTGATCTTCGTGAAACTGGGGAATTTATTTTTTCGAGGAGGGTAATCCGGGTGATACGGATGATCGTTTGGAGCAAGACCGGATTTCTGAGGCACCGACACTGTTGTCTTGCCGCGGCGAACAACGCGTTCAAGTTTATGTTTAGGTGACAAGTCTAAGTCCAATGGTTGAGCACCTTCAGATAATAACAGCTCGTCATCACTGTCACTAAGAGCATGTTCCATACTGTTCGTGATAGGACGCGACGCGGCAGGCTTGACTTTGCTGCCGGCCGCCTTGCTTCGCACTGGTTGGGATGGAGCAAACGAGGACCCCAAGTCTTCATGGCCTCGACCCTTGCCTGACTGAACAGAGAATGGGCGCTCTGGCATTCTATGGGTTGTGTCTGAGAATATGTCAGTTTTCTTCCTCTCGAATTCGGTCTCAATGCGTTCCATCTTCGGCTATCAGCCAGCCACTGCTGAGGTAATGTGGATGGTGACACGCTTCTTATGCGTAATAACCGACGCGTTGTTTTGGTTAGTTGATTTCTAAAGCTTGTGCCAAACTTGAACAAATACAACTGCCACAGTGACCACTAACCACTGGCACATCTTACTTAATTACCGCGAGGAGCCATTACTAGCGAGGCTGCAAGGGTCCAAATGCGCCGGCCGTGTTCACATATTCTTTGAGCCAGAACAACTTGCTTATAGCTTGATCCAGGATGGACGTTGATGGATGACGATTCTTGTTCATTCCATCATGAATCCTAGCTGGGTTTAATTGCTAGGTCGGAATTTGTGACTGGCCATTTGTGCATGAGCACCTTGTTGTTCGTGTCTGTAACTAGGGTGCGGTCCGGTGTGGCGCGACCTACCGAAGATCATTGAATTTCTCACTGCGCCTTTCTCTGACCGGATGTTCTCCTAACAGACTTTACCAGCCAATAGGGGTGTGCGTGTCCGTGGATAACGAAGCCGAATCCTCGTCGGGCTCAGACGGTCATTAAATAGGCGATCTTTCGAACTAGGTAATGCTGCGAGCTCTTCAAACTCTGGCTTGTTACGACGGGCTCAAAGTGTCCCGCTAGATAGAGGTGGCTCAAAGTTCAGCCCCGGATCTACAAACATAGTTTCGCATTAACCAGAACTGGCTAGTACACCATGCGACCCCTATTTCAAGCTGGTACGCTTCCCAGTGCTAGTGAGCTCTCCACCAATGACAGTGCTTGCTGTCTGAAGACAACCTCAAGCGTGAGCTTGAAGGCAAGAGCCCTGTGGAATGTGACTCATCAGAGTCCTACTATATATAAGCTCATTGGATATGTTTTGAATACCAACCGACTTTGCCTCGTCTCCTCGCACAAGTGTGTATTGGGTTCCCGATGACTCGTCACGAAGGAGACCCAGCTTTTCGCGTACCAGCAATCAAACGTGAACATCAAGTCCCAGAATTTATCGCAGGTGCCCCATTTCATAACGAAGAAATGGACAAAGGAACCTCAAAAATTATATCCCGTGCACCGACTGTGCTAGAAGATGGGTCCTTTTATGTTAGTCTTTGCACAGTTTCTCGTTTTTGTAATGCGCTTACTGACAAGGACTAGGTTGTTTTCGAAGACGGAGATATGCGGAATCCAGTCAACTTCTCTCCCACAAGGAAGTGGGCAATCACGATAAATGCTTGTGTCTTTACGAGCATTGTGGGTGAATATACAAGTCGGTGGAAGCACATAACTTTATGTTTATCATCTCTTGGTTTTTCCAGCTGCCGCCGTATCTTCGTATACCATGGGTTATTCGTCCATGATCAGAGACCTCAATTGCACATTATTTCAAGCAACTCTGGGATTTAGCGTGTACACCATAGGATTTGCACTCGTGCCCTTGGTCACTTCGTCGTTCAGCGAGGAATTCGGCCGCTTTCCTTTTTACATCGTCTCGTCTTTTATGTTTGTGCTGACTGAGATTATGATAGCTTTGTGAGTTTGTGTCTTACTGGAGCGTCTCCATTTGTCCATAAGGATTGTTCAGGGCACCGAATATACAAACCGTCATTGTAGCTCGTGCTGTTGGAGGGTGCTTTGGCTCGACGGGCGCAGCGCTCGTGGCTGGGAGTATCGCAGATATATGGTTGCCTCATCAGTTAGGTCCACCATTTTTCTGGGAACTCGAGATCTCATAACCCTCAAGACGGGGATTCCCTATGTCCCTCTTTGCCTTAGCTGTCATTGCATCTTCTGGATTAGGCCCGATGGTTGCGGGCTGGATCGAGGCTAATCCATCCCTGCAATGGCGGTGGATACATTGGATCCATGCTATGTGCGGTGTTGTTTGCTTTCATCTTGCTGTCTTTGTCCTGACTATTCTTTTAGCGTCAGCGGGGCGTGTTATATTCCCATGATTTTTGTTCTGACAGAGACTCGCCCGACTGTCATTCTGGCTCGTATAGCCCGTCAAGCTCGAAAGGACACCGAAGATGACCGATATCGTGCAAGGTCAGAAATAGACAAGCCTTGCTTTATGTCTATGGTTGCGACTTCATGCACTCGCCCATTAAGTCAGTGCATTCATTAGTACTGAACCATTTTCTGAATCACTGCTAGTTCTCTTATTCACTGAGCCCATTGTTCAGGGCTTTAGTGTATGTCGTTTCTCACTGATCCTCACCACAGACCTGACTCATGAGCCTTGCAATTGATTCTATATCCAGCTCTGGATTAGTTTTGTATGGGGAGTTCTCTTTTTTTTACTCGAGTAAGTGTCCCTGAACCTCGATGAAACATTAAGAGCAAAGTTGCTGCAGTTCAGTATCGAGCGAATTCAAAGACATCTACGGATTTGGTGTCGGAGAGACTGGGAGCGTTTTCGTCACCATAGCGTAAGGCTGATCTTTCGACGTAAGAAACTGTGGGTAATAATTGAACGTCTCAGCATCGGAAGTCTTCTAGGTTACTTGGCTAATATCTACGGGGAAAGACTATACAAGTCAGTATTCAACTCTCTGAAGAGGAAGCCCAGACTGATCATAGATTTAGAAAACATGTCCACCGCAAAGGCCCAGAAGCTCGTCTTTACATAGCTTGCGTAGCATCCATATTCTTTCCCATCGGAATGCTCATCTTTGCGTGGACCGCCCGAGAGGATATCCTATGGATAGTTCCTATGATTGGCCTTACGGTCAGCATCTTTCAGCTATCGATCTTCCCTATCACCACTGATGAAACTGCCAGCTTTTCATGACCTCCGCTTTCATACTGTATCAAGTCGTATTCATTTACTTGGCAGATTGGTGAGCACTGTGTCCACTTACCAGCATGCTTTGTTTGCCTGTTGACGAGCAGCGAGCTAGCTATGGGCCCTATGCATCTTCAGCACTGGCAGGTCAGAGCCTATGTCGTGAGTCCTTCCGACCGATCCTGTATCAAGAACATATACAATGTGTCTCGCGCAGGAAACACGCTTGCTACTGTCTTCCCGCTCTACACGAGTCGAATGAATGACCTCTTGACATACAAATGGGCAGGTACAGTCTTTGCGCTAATAGCGGCTATCATGATTCCTATACCATATGTGAGTGATTCGGATACTCTATTGTATGCATTTGCCCACGATCATGTAGATTTTTTTCTTTTATGGGTCGAGAATGCGAAAGTGCAGCCCTGTCTCCCGGAATATCCTAGAGATCGAAGTTGAACAAAAGAACCCCGACTCGGAAAAGTCGTAAGAATATTTATTCGCTCGTTGCTCGTCATTAAGTTATAGAGATGTGGCGGGGATGCTTGCCGTAGTTATTTATGTACGTTGATCGCACGAAGATTCTCGTAGCAATTAATTGACATCTATCTATCTACATATTGTAAGAACGGAGCGAATCAATTTACAATTGACGTTGACGCCATGTGCGCGCGCTAACTTGCGCTCCTTGAGGCTCCTTTTCATTTCGATCTCCGCATTCTCCTACCCAAATGGCTTCTGCGTATGGCGTTATTGGAATTCAAAATGCTACACCTTGCGTGGTTTGCGGCGGCCGATCTCTGTGGAATCAGAAGATACTGTTGGCGATTTGCCCGTCTCCGTCTACCAGAACAGAATCGTACTATATATACTTGTATTTTGGAGAAGGTCATCCAGAGTAAGCCTCGACAATATTATAAAAGCAATGTCCTTCGGGGGGAGGCTCATAGCGGACACTGGACAGTCAACCCATCTCCTCACGTGCTTCTTCGGGCTGTAGGTAATATCTACGAGGTCATCGAGTGCACGCGGCGATTTTGTAGCGGATCGAACTCGAAGACAAGTCCATCGGAGGTTGATATCGCGACGACTGCCCAGGAAGAGGACGAGGAAGGAAGGAACGAGTCGAGAGAATATGAGCGCGGAAAGCTCTGGCAGATTTCAGAATACGACATCTACTGACAGGATGCTGCAGATGGGACGATATCGAATTCGAAATAGGGTGGAGAGAACATATGAAATGGAGGGGGAACGCAGCCTTCTGTCGAACTTTCTCGCCGCCATCGAAGTAGTTCCATCAGATGTACAAAGATCATCCACGAGGCTCTAGCTGCAAACCTGTGTGCGAAGCACACAGCAATCAAGCTGTGAAACGATAATACATGTGACGCACCTTAAAATATGGCTTAAATGAAACAGTGCCCAACTTCCTCAACTCCAATCTAAACACCCACTTATCGCTGGTGATTTGAGCACTGAGTGTGTCTAAGCTTCTCGTGAGTTACACTCTGGGCTCTTCTGCAACATATACACCTACTCACAAGCAACCTTGGACACACTGCAAGATCTCTGTGCATTCTCTGATACGCAACTCCTGCATAAATTGGCTTCTGTGTGAGGACCAGATTATTGTAGTGCAGAAGTTGTCTGGTAAGCGATAGCTTGTGAGTTTATATTAGCGAAAGCTAAGATAGTCAGGTCGATTCACCAGGAACATTTGCCGTCGCCAGACAACTCGTTTTAATTCAAAGATCCTAGCGGGCTTCACTCGGTATCTCGAGACCTCCCTTGCGCCGACCATGTCTTTCCCGACGAATGAGCAAAAGACGCCAGCAGGTCACACCCCGTCAGACGATACGAGGCCATACCAACAATGTAGAAGGTGTTGTGCACCTGCCCGGGGGACGACGGATCATGACATGTTCGTTCGATGGGTCACTACGACTATGGGACTTGGAGAGCGGCACACCAATAGGCGAGGACTGGCGAGACGGGGAGGATGAGGAAGCAGGGATGTACAGTATGGCATTGTCTCCAAACGGCAAGAGTATTGTCAGCGGAAGTTCTGATGGGAAAGTGAAGTGGTGGGATGTCGAGACGGGAAAGGTGGTCGCAAAATGGACAGGGCACATGGACGATGTGACGTCGGTGTGTTGGAGTGGGGATGGTAAGCGAGTGCTGAGCGGATCCTGGGACGGGACAGCAAGAGTCTGGGATGTCAAGACCGGAAAAACAATCCTGATAATCGAAACTGGGCACGAGTATGTTGTGTACACAGCGAAATACTCGCCCGATCAAACACAAATTGGGACAGCAGGAGGAGACAAGGAAAATGACGGCGATCAGGTTGTACAAATCTGGGATGCAAAGTCAGGCAAACTGCTCGCCACACTCAAACATAATACGACAACTCTTAGTTTCGCCTGGACTTCAGACGGAAAGAAACTCATATCCACGGGATATGACCTGATTAGGATATATGACGTAACCAATTGGGAGCAGATCGCCATTCTGGAGGGTCACACAGACTGGGTCAACGCCATCACCTTGTTTCAGAACGACCGCCTCCTTCTGAGTGCATCATCGGACAACACAGTGCGTCTATGGAATCTCGACACCAACCTCTCAGTCGGTCCACCTCTTCAACACGAAGATGAAGTAATCCGCGCAGCCCTTTCCGCTGATGGCAAATTACTGGTCACTGGTTGCAAAGACGGAAATGTGTACACATGGGACATTCACGTCATACTAAAAGACGCTGACTTCGAGGACCTACTATCCATTCCTCGTGTGAGCTCAGGTGCCTCGTGCTCTTCAAACTACACTAATCTCTCATTTGCAGGTCCCAACTCGAAAGTCGTTAAAGGACGTACGTGACACATTTCTTCACTCTGTCCAACTATTTTCAGATCGAAATTCTAGAGTAGCGCTCCTCGACGTCCACCCATTCAGGCCTGTCGAATACCACCAGGCTTTTTCGACGGCACCCAGGTGAGTCGTCTACATTTTTTGGCCAGCTCTTTTTCTAACCTTTCTCAGTCCTCTACACCATGTGGTACCCATACTCTCTCTCCTGCGCACAATCCTCGCAGTCCTCGCCCATCTCCATCTGCCATTCCACGTGCCCTTCTCGAGCGACTTTCGTCGTTCTTCCACCACTCTCACTCCGATGTTGATGGGGAAACCGAACTCCGGCAACACCCAAGGCGCTCCATCTTCTCTCTCGGTCCTCGTATTGTCGAAGTTGCTACAGTACAGGACAGAAAGGTATTTCTTTCTCCTCGTCCATTTCCTATCGCCCTCAGGCTAGTTCAACAATTTCTGTCCAGGCTTTGTATGTTGCTCCGCGACCGCGGCCGCAGCAGCAAAGGCAGTTGCATGCCCAGGGCTCGTTGTCGCAATCTCAGCCTACCACAACCACAACCACACCTGCTCAAGGTACTAGCACTGTCGCACCAGGTGCAGCAACCGTACAGTCACCACCCATCCCATTGTGGGCTCTTTTTGTTTTGTTTCTCTGCTGCGCATCTCCACCGCAAGCCAATGGCCATTAATTCAGGAGCAGCATACGTACAATCATTTTGTTTTTCACGTCTTCCCCTGCTCCATCGATCCTGTTTCCTCATCGTGAGACTGCTGGAATACATCGAACTCGATCATACTAACCGTCGCGAGAGCATCATTATACTCAGAGGATAAAAGCCTAGTATCAGCCAAGGTCCCTTCTATTCATAGACTTTAGCAATATCATCGCCAACTCATCAACTGCTATGTAGCCTTTCAGGTTATGTTTGCGAAATTCAACCTCGGACGAGCAAGATGCCCTTTTTAATGTCCATGCACTAAGTCCTGCATTTATGCACCAAGTATTTGCGCAGTTCCCTGTCGGGGCCCCGAAACATCGGTTTCGTACAGGGCTGCATAATACCTGTGTGCAACTACGGTAACCGGCCATAAATGCCAGCGGTTTTTTGTTCATGATATTGAGCATATGGGATTGTAACTATTGATTTACAGGTGCTGACACCGTTGCCCATACACCAGTGAAATTTATCCAGATTCCAGAAGTAACTAGAGCGATCAAGTCAGCAACGAATTGTATATTGTGCCATCAACAACGACGCCAACGGCCCAATACGAATGCAGAAACACGACTCACTGTCCAGTTGTGCTTTTCGTTTCGTTGACTGACCCATAGGCAGCCTAACCACAGGACGGGGGATCACTATTCTATTAGCATCACAAGAGGTGAGTAATGGCGTTTGATCCTGGTTGCAAAGTAAACTGTTCATGCTCACATCGCTGGGAACACATCGAAGGTCTGGGCAGCAATCGGTGTTGACGGAGCAAAGCTGCTCAAATGTGTTGCATGCACTAACAGACATGCATGCTGCTAAAGCAGTAAGGACGACGACGAAGGAGAAATGCATGGTTTGTGCGATGTGATACGAGTTTTGTGAAGGAGAATCTTGACTAATATCACTGAGGTGAAGGGTACGCTGAGCGCGGCCAGCTTTTATGTCGTGAAATTGGTGTTGTGAGCAACTTCACGGTGAGGATGTTTAGAACCTTGGGAGTTCAACTATTGGACTGGCAGATTGTGCCTGGTAAATGACATAACTCGGCAGGGAGGATATCGGAAGAACGTATTGCAAGTATCTTGAAAAAACCTATTGTAGTTCCAGGATAAACAATCCAGAATTTGACTGTAAGCGTTTTTTGCCAAGGGTGAGATAGGGCTCCCTCGTGCCTCTGCGAAGTTCTCATTATAGATCTCGGAGTGGCCACACCGCCAGATTGCAGCTCGCCATAAGGTTGCGTCCTTCAATAGTACATGGAACGCATGCTCATTCGCTCTCCCGCATGTGTAAATTTGAAGCCCGTGACTTGGCCGTGGCGGCACCGAGCTAGATGAGATCGGCTGTTGAACAGATACTGAGTCACCCTATATGACGCTCCCAAGTGGGAAGTAATCAAATTCATCTCATTATCATATTCCGGATACTCGTACATTGCCAGAAGATATCATCCATCCCCTGCGTTTGGCAGATACCTCCATCGATCTTTGATAAATTGGTGCTTCGTGTTATTCACACAAGAGCAGGACATTGCGACTACGTTGGTACAACAGCATACTGAAAGTTTGGTGGCCATTGGTGATGAAACTTTGTAAATCATGTTTCAGACTTCTAGGCGTACGCCCCTACCATTAATGGCAACTCGATGCCATAAAGCCCAAGATGTTTGGCTTACCAATCTGCACAAAAGCAGACTTACATAATACATAGCGCTACCAACCTCAAGGGCCCAGCTGCTGTGAAGGTTATGGTCACATTCAATACGGAAACCAATCTGGACGTGGCCAATGAACCTTGCAGAAAAATACCAGAGATCGTACTTGACAACAAACGTGAAAAAGTATTCTTGCCAACAGCTCCGATTGATGTACCCGCTGGCATGGATTCTCGTTAAGATGAATCATATGAAGGCAGACGGCGCCCTCGCGCACCCGCTGAGTCCTTCGTTCTCCCACAGCTAGAGCTAGAACTCTGAGTCACCCTGCAGGCCTCTTAACAGCAAACAGTCACCCCCTAATGCAACTCCCTGCATCATTCATTCCTACACTGTGGCGCAGGCACTACCCCTCACTTCCCTAGGACCGCAGCCCTGCGCTGCGTGTCGCACCTAAGCTGCTGATTCATGTACGTGAGATGTGGTCCGCTCTCAGGCTCTCACATCTACCCTGTTACACCCGAGGCTGAACATCCATTCCGCTGGCGGCCGCATCTATCTGTCACCGTCACCCTGCGCTGAGTACACGATGCACACCTCCTTATTTTCTCTTTCAACTTTGTTCTCACTCCTTTTGTCACTCAGCATTGTCTGCATGTTTTGAACTTTATCTTCATATACACCCGCATTAGGAATCAGGAACGACGTCGGGACTTCTCGAGACCATTGAAGAAGATGGCTGCTGCCCGACATAATGTCACATTACACCCCCAGGATATTGTGGCACTATATTCTCCTGTCAAGTACAAACAATTCAAGATTAGAAGGGCTTCTCGTCACTCCATTTTGCTGGGTATAAAGCATGAATGCAGTTGTCATATCGATGGCATGACTGAGGAGTGTTCAGCAATGCATCGATGACACGCACCTTGGGGAGATCCACCACAGCTATAGGCCGCGAGAACAGAGCAACTGCGCAAATTGTTCGATTTCATTCGCTTTTCCATTGGGAACGTGATGAAATTTGGGCAAAAAAACCGTACAAACGCACCCGTCTGTTCTGCCACTGCTGGCGTAGGCTTGTACATATAGTTGTCTATTGATCGTGAATGCTTGATCCTTTCTACATGAGGTGTCGTACTGCGAAGTAGCATAGGGGAGTCTACTCAAATTAATGATGGGTAGACGTGCATCAGTGAACCGGTGAACAAATGAGAATGGTATTTAAAGTTATATATTGTTAAGCATCGCAACAATCAGCGTAAATTTGACGACCGCCTTCACATGGGAATGTTTAGTATTGTCGAGGAAAGAACAATTTGTAAGCACACGGGCCTGGTAGCCCTATTTGCCTCAAGGCCTTTTTCACTTGGATGGGTCTAAGAAACAATGCGCGAACACAGGTTCATGCATTGGAATATAAACCTGGTCTGAGAATGACAAGGAAAGACGCTGCAGTGTGCAGGAGTAAAAGACACTTAGGTGATGCTCACGCGTGAAGAGGACGGGTGTCATTGGTCTTTGCACAATATATTTTTACTCGCTGCGGATGACTACCGAGCGTGCGAGTAACTTGCTCGAGGAAAAAGTATGAGTAACAGTAGACATTACTTCTCGACGGATCGTTTTGTCTACATTGACTGAATGTTGGATGAATGTCGCTTTGAGTAGTATATTGCATAGATTTAGAGACAATATCCTGAGTTATCTTAGAGTAGGTATCACTACTTGATGAACGCCGAGTTGCAATGGCATAGAAGCACTGGAGTCGTGCACGCGAAATGTTTGTTTGTAAACCGTCGCACAGATCAATACATTATACGGAGCGCAAATACTGTTCTGAGGTATGTGAGAGTACGCATGAATTCTCGATGAATAGACTTCCTACTCTGTCACTGAAAAGGAAGAATTATCCAGTGAAACCTTTTCGGAACACGACACTATATCAAATCATCCCTTAGAACAAAATCAAAAGTGTACATTTTTGCTTGAGTGGACAGAATTTGCGGTTGTGACCACGTTGGTCGGTAATTCGAACCTTGTTGTAACGCTGGAAGCATGCGCAGTGGCAGTGCTACATTGTAATCTTACGCCATTATTACCATTTTCACAATTTGAATGCTTCTGGCCTTTCTAGCCGAAAGCATGAAAGATCTTGTGTACTACTCAAACACCTCAGAATTCATAGCGGTGAGTGATGCCCAGTGAAAATCGACAAGAATGAGGTAGATATATGTAGATAGATATCTAAAAAAATAAAGGCCCATGAAATCTATCGATGTATTTAGACAAATGAGACTTTTCGAGATGGAAAAAGAAAGACATCGAGAAAAAATTTAGACGTTTAGATACGATTCTCGATCTGTTTAGACCTACCAATACACATTTACATACAAAATATCACTCGATTTGATCCAAAAACAAATCTAACGAGAGCAAATGACATTATCTATAGGTATCGCTATCATTAGGTGAGTAGGGTATCGCTGCTTGCTGCGCCTCGTCCGCTATCCCGCCCGCCATCCCGCCATCCCGCCATCCCGCCATCCCGCCATCCCGCCATCCCGCCATCCCGCCATCCCGCCATCCTGCCATCCCGCTGTAGAGACTCGTGCATCTCATAGTGTGATATGGTGCTTTACACTAGGGAGTATACAGCACCAACTCGCAGCATCACTCTGTGTACCATCCACAGTGATTCCTATATGACGCGCAGCTTTCCCGCGCCATGCGCGCACCATTCCCGCGCTTCACGATGTATACGCGCGCGCGTTCCCGCGCTTGCGCGCCCTATAGCGCCAGCCATCCAGATGCATCCATCCACTGTCCACCAAGCTCCCTAGTGCGTATATTTCCATTTCCTTTATTAGCATAGTTCCACCTTTATTTTTATCATAGTTTCTCACTCATATATATTTTTACATACCTACTCGGTAGCGCTTTGTCTCCGCATGAGCGCGCTTAGGCGCGCTATATAAGCGCCAGCAGTACATACTATTATTTACCTTACTTTTCACCCAACTTTACCTAGTACTTACTACTTAGAAAGTCGCAGTAGAAATCTATTCATTAGCACAACACATCTCACATCCTTTATCTTGCTTATATCTTCACATAAGTTTAGTCTCTCTTATTTCCGCTTACACGCGCGCGCTTTCCCACGCTTCGCGCTAATACACACGCGCGTTCCCGCGCCTTCGTACCTTGCGCGCACCTGCGCTTTCTCGCGCTTCGCTGAAGCGCGTACCTCTAGATCTCCGCTGCACCTGCTTCCCCTTTAGGGTCGAATGCACTTGCCATCTCAAGTATCGCAGACTAGGCAACGCACGACCTATAACTTTTTAGATACAGTCAGGAGCATTTCTTTGTTCCTCTCAGTATTGTTGTTTCTACAACTGGAGCCCACCGCGAGGGGAGCAGTCAGCAAGATCTAGTTCCGCGCATTTCGCGCATACAGGTCAATATCTTTGCATTTCAAAAGCTAATCATTTTCTAGTCACGCATTCTCGCGCCTTGCGCGCGCGCAATATTCCCACGCCTGTGCGCCTTGTGCGCGCACCTTTCTCGCACTTCACACTATTTAACGCATAAAGGTCAATCTCTTTGCATATTCAAAAGCTAACCAATTTCTAGTCACGCATTCTCGCGCCTTGCGCGCGCGCTTTCCCACCCCTGTGCGCCTTGCGCGCGCACCTTTCACGCGCTTCAATGCCCTTCAGAATGCCCATCCGCGGCACAGCAAACGCGCCCAAGTTCGATGGCACTACAGACAACCTTGCCGAGTTTATTGACACCTATGAGCAGCTCGCTGATGATGCAGGACTCCAAGGACTCAACCGCATCAAAGGTATTATCCGCTACCTTGAGCGCGACGATCGAGAACTATGGGGCGGAATGCCCGAGGCACAAGTAAGCGATTACGACACCTTCTTAGATGAGGTGAAGGTAATGTATCCTGGATGGGACGGTAAAAGGCGCTACGCGCTCGCAGACTTGCGCGCCATCGCGCGCGAATACGCTAACAAACCAATGCCCGCTTGCACAGAACTCAGCAATTACCTGCGCGCATTCAGGAAGATTATGCAGCCACTCATGGATGAAGACCGTATTGGAAAGGCCGAACGCGACCGCTTATTCATGGAAGGAATCCCTAGCGATGCTCAGGCGCAAATCCGCTTGCGCCTTATGATCAAGTTCC